TGGAAGCAAGAATGGTGCTGGTGTCGGCTTTCTACTCAACCAACACAAGGATGTAGTCACTGGTCTGGGTGTCAAGAAGGTGAATAGTATAACAATTTGGACTTACGGAGAAGAGGCCCTTGACATCAGCAGTACAAGGACAGACGACTTTCCTGATTTTACTCTTTGTTTACTCTTTGAGATTGTTCCTGTTGCTTCACCAAATCAAATTCCTCCACCAACCGTCTGAAAGGAACAAACAAGAAAGCATCTAGAGCATTGAAGTCATCATATTCTGAAGGGAATAATGTTCAGAAAAGGTTGCTAGTTAGACCGCAAGGATAAAGTTCATCAAGAACAGCTATCAGAACGAAACGCTCTGAATAGAATTAATTTAATGAAAAAAGAACATGAAAACCCCTTCTCGAGATTTCTCCACTAGTGATATGTAATTGTGCGTAGATTCGAAAAGCTGCCAGCTTTACTTATGATCATAATGAGAGTGATGTTGAAATAAACATTTTGATGCTCCGGCATCCCTGATCATGGGCTGATTAGTCATCAGATCCATACCAGAAACGGCGGATGCAGGTGAGACACTTTCCAAAGTCAAAATCGTATAATGCATCCAAAAATCATTTGATTTTGATGTTGATAAAAACATACGATCTGATTGCTTGTCGCAAAATGAATATTTCAGTGGAGTTTCAAGGCCCTCGAGATAATAGTTCAAAAGCCTTCGCCAAGTTGAAGTTTCTCATCAGCTCATGAACCCGCTAGTATTTCATGAAAATTGGTTCATGAAACTCCAACATTTTGCATCCATGATTTTCGGTTTCGAGTTACTTCCAACCCTTCTAGTAAGATGGTTATCGCACGACGACAAAAGGCTTGGGAATGCGATAATTTCCCAGGCATTATTTCAAGCTCATATATGATCACCAGATCATGAACCGACAGCAAGCAAGGAAATGACATGGAACCCTTCATTCAACACATTCTAGAAGAGAAGTCTCTTCCTCATCATGAATATTTGTTCACTCGAGGCTTCATGGTACAGTTCCGATGAATATTGGTCAGAAAATGAGAAAGAGGCCAGATACCAGGAAAGGGACGACTAGTCCAAAAACTGCTGTGAGGACATGCTTGTGTGTATTTATCTCCAGAATTACCTTGAATTTCTGCAGACTTTCCAATGTCCTACGAAACGGTTACCAGATCCAAGCGGTGCTGTGTGAAAATATTCTTGGCAATGCAGCAATTCAAAATCAGCAGTAACTGAGCCATAAAAAGACGGCAGTGTGGTTAAAATTCCAACAAATCTAGCCGTACCAACTTCCAAGCAGAGCGCCCAACTTTCCGAAGAATATGGAAATCCCTTCTCGTACTGATAGATTATGCAATAGAAACGATGGTTTCTTAAGGAGTTCGGATATCGTACGAGAAAATAGCCCAATAGACATGCTCCGACCAACCACCGGGAACATTATCGTCAGTAAATGTCTTTCTTCCCCGGAAGAGTAAAACAGGCCGACTGACAAAAAATAACGGTAACGGCGAGACTTTTACCTGATCCAGAGAGCGATTACCACTTACCGAAGCAATTACCCAAAACTACGCCCCCGCACCCACGGAAATTCAATTCCCGGAACACAATAACCAACATCTACTAACCTGACCAACCAACAAACCAACCAACCAAATAACAATACCCAATATTCCCTTACTCAATTCACCATCCTCTACTCAAAACACTCCGCTCTTTCACCAGCCACAAGCACAATACTGATATCCATACCTATCATCTATTTGTCATCGGCCTGTCACCGTCCTCACGTTCCAAACACACCACAGCATGCGTAGCACAGCATCAACTGAAACATCCTCAACCGCTATATCCGCAGTATACCGTATGATTACCCGTCGAAGACCATTTCTGTGTAATCTGTACACGACATAAAACACATAATGAGTTTGTGTAATCTTTAGTATTATGCCGAGACCCTGAGCTGCAGTTTTGGAGCCTCGTGGAGATATGTGTAACTACCTAAGTTTAACAGCCAGGAGAAGTTTGGGAGCTTGAAATGAACACACTGACTAATCCCGGTGGAATGATTGAAGGGATGATGGAGAATGAGGACCAAAAACAAACTTACCACTCATTGGATTTCTGTACCGCTTGTAAAAAATTCATGAATTACTATAATCAATACTCCATCCATTCTGTATACATCTAATTAAGTAGGTACATTAATTTCCAAAGAATGTGGTATCAAATCAAATCAAATCAAACAAAATCATGAATAAACCTCAGTTGTCTCGCCCCGAGCACGAGCACGAGCGCACCAAACTTTTCATCCCTCCCACTCCTAATCCTGCGAAGTGAATTGTCAATACCTTTCCTCCATTAAACTCCATCCTTAATATCCGTCAAAGGTCCTCATCGGTAGCCTTTACCCACTTCGTTTCTCATCATTCCTGCATACCCACTCTCGCTATCTGTGTACGAAAACGGCCTTTCTCTTTCCGGCGAAGGCGCGCCCGCCGTCATACTCGCGCTTCTACTTGGAGCTGGGAGCTCAATCGGGCCCTGGCCTTGGTTTTGCCTTTCTTTCTCTTGTAATCTGCAGTGGATTGATCAGCATACGCGCTTTTCACAATATTTCCAAAAATGGATTGAAGAAAAAATAACAGTAGAATAAAACATACCTCAAAGCGTCTTGTGCACTCCTATCATCCATCTCACTCAATGTCTGTCCTCCATACCCCTGAGAACTTAGATGTGACTCGTGATTATGCGCCGGGCTAGGGAATCCAGGACTTCCCATCGGACTTCCAACTGATACACTCTGATACTGGCCATTTCTAACCGTCTGCATACCCACCTCATCAATCTGCGGACTTCGACTTCTAAAACTGTTCGTATCGGGGTCCGTGTAAGCACCATGATGAGGTGAAAAGCGTCCAGATGCGGTATCTAAGCCCGATAGACCAGATGCAAACTTGGACATGTTTGGATAATTGGCTTCGGAAACTGTACGACCGCCTTGCGACATATATGAGTTATGAGAATCATCGTAAGGGTTGCTGCTAGCTGGAGGCCCAGACGATGGCCCATTGTGAAATACTTCTTTCATGGTTCGGTGGCGACCGCACATGTAGAATAGAGCGCCTGCTAGAGCTATTACAGCGACTGCACCAACGACGATACCGGCAATGGCGCCAGCCGGTAATGATTTATGAGAGGAGCCAGAAGCGACGGCTTTTGCAGTTTCTAAGGGAAAATATTCATTGGGAGAGAACTCCATCGTTGCATTTTCAGCATACGCAAACTGAACATCGAAGGTTTGCGTAGCATTGGCATTTATAACCCCAACCATACCCTCTTGACAAGCACCAGGAGCGGAACAATAGAAGAATATAGGTTCCGTGTCGTTAATGCGTAAGTTAAATATAGGCGGCTAATTAAGACTCGTTAGCATCATTTGATCAATCTACAGGAGATAGCGAGTGTCTAACATTATTCGAGACAATAGCAGTAGGTTCGAAACCACTCCAGAATCCAATCTTTCCTGCCCCAGTGTCTTCGTATGGTATACATGGTTCTGTAAGGTTGAAATCAACTATTGTCTATCAACAAAAGATTTGGGGTAAAATACGTTTGTATTCTGCTCTCGCCACAGAATGATTTAATGGATAAAAGCGAAATTCTGCAGAGGCCCGTTAGTCCAACATAAATGCGATGTTCATCATAATGACTTACCAATAATATCTCCAACATCCGCCGTTAATTCTCTAGGATCGTAATTGAGGCCATCCTGATATTCATTAACATTCAATCGTAGCACAATTGCAATCGCAAGATCAACTTACTGCACCGACCGATACAACATGCGTCGTGACAGCCGTCTTCGAAGCGCTTATCGATGAACTTGTGGATGAACTTGTGGTGGATGCCGATGAAACAAAGCTTATCTTTGACGCTGAAGCCGTGGAAGAACTATCCGCAATTGAACCCTCTGTACTAGAACTTTCAGCCCGGACCGAAGCAAGGATTGATAGCTCTAAGAGAGCGAATAGCCTCGACAGCATCATTTTGAACGTCAAGTCGTCAATTAATCAATACGATTTGTAAAGAACGAACCTTATCATGCTGCAAGAAAAACAAAACAAAGAATAAAGAATGTGAAAAAGGTGTACCAGTACAGAAATCAGGCGGAAATCTTACTTACATGCGGGGTGGTTGTCCATATCAAGAACCGACCAGCGAAGCCAGCCCCCCCCATGAAAAGATAACTTGGGACAGTATTGTAAGAGCAGTAATAGTGTGCGGCTGAGTCAGAGAACAGCCTGGCAAATCTTGCAAATCTTTCCAAATTTTCACGTAGTATCGACTGAGTGAACTTGGCATGGAGTACAGCGGTGTATTACCCGGTAGCTATGGGGGATTTGGGCCATCATAATTCACGTTTATCTTGAGCCATCCATACACACCAAGTGCTTCAAAAAGTGCGGAAGTTCTGAGACGTTTTTGTCGGCTGCATTCACCCATCACGTAAATAATCCCCATGAAAAAAAGAGGACCCGATGTTAGCAATGTAGCATGTATGTAATTTATCCACAAGGAAGTTCATATCTTTAGAAATACCATTCCTAACTAGGGAAAATCAGAAAAAATCGATATCGGACGCAGCCTCCACTTGTAGGATTCTGCAGGGAGAGAATGGGGGCTGGAATCATTGATTGACGGAATCCAGGCTTATGGCCGATGCTTGTCGGTAACCGTGCCAATGGTAACCGAACTTCCAGAAGCCTTACGCATTGACCGAATGGACCCCTGAGGGGCCCCTTGCCTGCTTACATCTCTCGTATTGCCTAATTTCTTGATTGAGATTCGCGTGGAAAACGTGGTGGAAATGGTGTGACTGCGTAATCTTTGACCAATAAAGTACATAATATGTTTATAAAATTGACAAGAGTCTAATCTTGTATATGGGTATATGGCACACCTTTAAAACCGATCACTGAACCTTCTTTGCTTTCGCCTTTGTCTTTTCCATCTTCGAGGACTGTAGAAGACCACTTTCAACAGCCAAGGACCATAGGCACCATAGGTAACATATACCAAACCCAGAAACTCCAACGGCGACATTCATGACTACCCAAAAATCAGGGAAAGGAGCAGGTGGCGTCCAGAAAATTTCTCCCAAATGCCAAGCGACCATTGCTTGATAAAAGAGCGTGTGTATCAATGTTGTTCCAAATCCTATCCAATTGCCATCATTATGCTGCGCATACACCTCAAAAGAAAAGGGTGGAAGCCCAAGAAGGTATAGCCACAGGAGAACCAGAACGAAGTAAGGAACACGCAACTCTACTCGTTGCAACAATGGAAACATTGTAAAAGCACCCAGAACATTGGCAAATGCTATCCATGATCGAGTTCCTTTGCTAAGTCCTCCTCGACCAGCCAGCATAACAGTCATTGGCATTAGAGGTAACAAGACGCTTTTCTCATGTACCTGGAAACTGAATAGGAAGAATCCCCACGCTGATGTTGCCAAGGCCAAGGGCAATAGATCCTTTCGTGGTTTGAAGAATATAATCAAGCATGGAGGAGTTATGGATGCTAAAGTGATAAGTAGTGAAGCTTTCTGAAGAAGACCCTGATCAAAGTTTCGGAGCTTGATAGCGACATTTAACGCGCACCAGAAATTGGCCACTTTATCTTCAAAAAGACCCCGCGCAAAAGGGAACACTCGGTATATAACCTGTGCACTTTGCTGTATGATAGGATAATACCAAGCGCGATAATCAAGTTTGTATGAAAGATGGCTAAGAATGGGTAATGGCGCTGCGAAACCATCAAGCTCTGGTCGGGCACTGATACCTTGACTTTTCTCGTAGAGAGCACCCAAGAACAGGGGCAGAAATAGGACCGCAAATGATACCAAAGTAACAATCGCGATTCCTAAGAACCTAGGAATATTGATAGGAAATATGCAGACTCCTAGTAGGTATGCAAACATCGCAGGAGCATAATATAAAGCCATCTGCTTGAATCCCAATGCCATGACAAAAAATACACAGCTCCACATGTATCTGCCAGCTAGTACACTAGACATGCTAGCAAGAACCAATCCAAGCATTACTGTATTGTATTGAAAATGTGCATGGTCGATGAGAATCGATCCGGGTTGCATAAGTATCGCTGTCAGAGCAATTGATGCTGTCCATATATTTACAGCTTGAAGCTTACTTAATCGTCGAACGAAGATGACCGCTGCGGGTACAAACACTAAGTATTCGGAAATGATAACTGTAGCCCTCATGAAAACCTTCATTGTTGGATCATCGAGTCCCCGCGACGTGTATAAGGCGAACCACGATGGGTTTATAAGTCCTCCGATCTTTCCAAGAACCCAACTATGATATGCGGTTAAGGGCGGATAGTCCAATCCCCACCATTCGAGATCATGGAAGTACCATTGTGAAATCGGAAGTTGCGTTGTAATCTCCATCCAGTGCCTCTGAGCTTCGTAGTCGCCATGCATCGGTGGGCTTTGAAATCCTGCCGTGGAGAGTCAGTAACAGAGCTCAGGGTAGTTGGCAGAGTTTACAAACGTACCAGAATATCCCCAAAGTCCAGCAGCCCACCTAAACAGACCTACGGTCATCAATATTAAAGGAAGTACCACCCATTGCGATGTTGAACTACGCGCAGACCAAAGTAGAGAGGCCAATGGATACGTGGGTTGATTTCCACTCATACGCCTGGCTGTTGGCGTGGTAGGAGTAACTATCGAATCACTCTCAGACATAACTTTTTTGGATCGTTGACCTCGCGATCGAGTTTTGTACGGTGAGGGAGAAGGTCCAGCCATTGTCACCGAAAGATTGAAGCCGAATAATGAACTATTATCATTGCTTGAAGTAAATTGCAAGTTTGACTCCGGAATATGTTGGGTCGACCGGTCATGTAACCGATTTCCCCACTATGTGCACGTCCCTACTACGTGCACGACTTTGAAAATATCAACATTATGGCTTCAAACATCGATGATATGCCTTTAGAGGCTCGTATAGAGCTTGCATTAGATCATTTGAAAGGGGTTCAAGCTCCTAAATACACCCAGACAGCTAATTTCTTTAAAATTGATCGATCCACGCTCTCCCGGCAGCATAGAGGTAAAACCACCTCGAGAAAACAGTTCCTCTCCAATACGAAACAAGCGCTTTCTAGCAATCAGGAGGAGGTTTTAGTTGATCAAATCAACAAGCTGACACAGAGATCTATCCCTCCTACAAGCCGCATAGTCAGAAACCTTGCAGAAGAGATCCTAGGCAGAGAGGTGGGAAAGAACTAGACTAGCAATTTTGTCAAAAGGCATTCAACACGTCTTAAAAGTCGGTATCTCCGTTGCATTGATAATTTGCGTGTGAAAGCCGATAATGTTGCTATATTTGATTACTTTTATGATCTGGTTTGAGCTATTTTCTATTGTTGTTGATCTTTATTACCTAAAACGCTCTTGCTAATGCCCCTCTTTTTTTAATTTAGTTGATAAAAGTGACCATAAAATACGATATACGGCCGAGAGATATATACAATTGGGACGAGAAGGGCTTTATGATCGGTATGGGGAGGACTATGAAGAGGATAATGAGTGCTAGCGCCTATAATAGAGGCAGAGTGACAAAAGCTAGGCAAGATGGATCAAGAGAGTTTATCATCCTATTGGCAGCTATATGTGCTGATGGGATAGCTCTCCCTTCTGCTCTTATTTATAAAGGAGACTCAGGGGATCTATAAGATATATGGGTTCAGGATGTAGGGGAGAAGGATAAAGCCTATTTTGGAGCCTCAAGCAATGGGTGGTCGTCGAATGCTTTTGGCCTATATTGGTTTATAAACGTATTCGACCCTGCTACACGTCGAAAAGCAGGTGGAAGATATCGTCTACTTATTGTCGATGGTCATTCTAGTTATGTCAATATGGAATTCCTTTCAAAATGCGATGAATTAAAGATTATTGTTTTAATTCTCCCCCCTCATTCTACATATCGACTACAGCCTCTCGACATTGGAACCTTCGGTGCCCTTTCGACGAATTACAGTACATTATTGAATGATTTGATGCACAATAGCAGGGGGATTGTTGGTATAACAAAGCGCATGTTTTGGGGCATATTTAAAAAGGCTTGGGAGCTCACTTGTACGAGGCATAATATCTTACGATCCTTCGAAAAAACGGGCATATATCCTATGAATAGGAGTCTTACGATCGACTGTATTGCTCCGGAAGCTCCTCTTACGCCACCTACATCATTTAAAACTCGCAGGGATGCTCTTGCTACACCGTATACGTCAAAAGCGATGTGTAGAATGAAATTAGAATTTCGTCGCGCTCCCACCCATGAGATCACTTTAAAGCTTTTTAAGGCTGCAACTACATTAGGAGCTGAAGCTTCTATACAGGGGCATAGATCTAAAGGTTTAGAAGAGGCTCTAAAGCTTGAAAAAAGGAAAAGAGCTCGTTCAAAGCGTTTAAATCTCATTGGAGAGGAGGGGAATGGTGTGTTTTTATGGTTACCTTCTGCTATTATTAAAACTAGAGCGTATCAAGAAGATAAAGCACTTAAAGAGGAGCAAGAGAAGGAAGCTAAGCTTCAGATAAAAGCTGAAAAGAAAGCTGAAAAGGAATGGAAGGAGATTGAGACGAAAGAGAGGGTATTGCAGAGGGAGGTTGATCGTCAGATTGCACGTGATGCGAAAGAGGAGGTTAAAAAGACTCTAAAATCAACAAAATCTCCAATCAAAAGAGATAAAAAGTTCCCCAAAGCTTCTTCTACTATAGATCTAACATCGACAAAGACTATAGAGCTCTCTGATGCTGTAGAGGCTAATAATTCGAAGGGGAAGGAGGAGGAGGTCATATTGCGATCTAGTAGAGGGCGAGCACTACGAGTTCCATCGAAATTCAAAATCTGAAGATTTTATTATGTTTTTAGATAGTATTGTATCTTATCATTTATCAATTAAATTGCTAGCTCTTTATCTTATAAATTGGAATTGTTATTAATTTTTAAAGTTATTCAAAAAGGGTGATCGAGATCGTGCATATAGCAGGGACGTGCACGTAGTAGGGAAATCGGTTATTAAATTTGTGGGGTGGTGTGCGAAGAACACCACGATATTTATTTTATCCTTGCGCTTAGCCATGATGACACGCTTCAACTTTTGCATCTATGTACCAACAACATCTACGCCAACTCCCAATTGAATGTTTTATTTAAGCGCTTCATATCCTCATGTTTTCCACATCCTTCTTCAGAGTCAGAAAATCCATCATAGAGATTACTTGAGTAGACTAATCGCTCAAGAAACTCTATCTCAACCAATGTACGTAGGTAAGTAGGAAACCTTCAAGTCGAAGTGATCCAACTTCCTATCAACAAATATCAGGAAACGTTCACTTCCAAATTTCTCGAGCATAACCATGTTGCGATGGTGAACCTGCTCACAGCTTTCGAGTGAAAGAAACAGCTTAAAACAAGGCAGCCGATATCACTAAAATCGCTATGCAGTTAGCTCTTGAATTAGATACAGCGGATATACTAGGAATTTTCTTCTCGTCAGCTTTCCATCCCCAAAGTCTAGCATTAAATTATAGTTGCCGCCCATCTGGGTGTACATAACTGCATACGCAGTTGGGGCGATACGATAAGCGTTATCTAGGAGGATTACGATTCCTTTAATATCTGATATGTAGATCCTGCACAGTATCAGGATAGCGCAGCTCTTTGGGGAATTGCCTTCAAATGAGTGATCCAAGTCGGCGCTTGGAGCCTGACATTAGCAAACGATGTTCATCGAGTAGTTATCGATGACACTGCTATGGCACTTTACGATTTGCTGGCGTGGACTCCAATGTCTGATAATACTCGTTGGCAAAACAGTAGTTAATTACAAGGAAAGATATCACGTATAACACTACGGTATATACAAGTCGGTTCTATCGATTCATATTCCATTCGAGCGTCGAAGCCTACAAAATCCCATGAGACCGGCATGCCATGGGCGACCAAACCAGCAATCTTCTGCGTTTAAACCCCGCCATGAACATGGCGGCATCAATATCCCGAACTTAATTCCTATAAAAATCCCAGAAATCCTTTGTAGCGCCCTACACCCTCAGTCAGAAGCCTTATAACATCCATCCTTCCGAAAACGTGATAGTTTGCGTGCAATTTCGACAACGATTCGAGCATTTGAAGCTCAAAAATACGCTCGTGTTTCCTTTCTTTTTTTCGAAACGCACAATGTCATCCAGTAAGCTGCATCATCTAACATTCAATCCAAGAATATGATGGTTCTTTGTCCTCTGTATTGCCAGATATCCCGGAGACTTTTGCGATTCTGAGATTTTATAGTCAGCGGCCACTCTTCAACATTTCCGGTCAGCCTTACCATTGAAGCGCTTTTCTGTCTCTAATTCCGTTTTTATAAATTTGGCGCTCTTCGGTTCAACAGTGAGAAGTAATGGTTCCTTGGCTACATGCTTTGTGTATACTTGACGGCAGCATGCTCCGACGAAAGCTAATATCAAGACCAATAAACCCATGCCAAGGTTCACAAAGACCGTTGGCTCAAGATTGGCCTTGAGTGCTATTAACATTGTGGCTAGACACATATTGAAGGTTGACAGTTGAATGATGTGGTAGATACGTATAATTCAGAGAGTACAATTGGTATCTGATGGTTAAAGAAACGATATGTGATGCAAGAATTTCCGCAAGAATATAATGGGCAAAGGAGTCTCAAGAACACGATTAAGTGTAGGAATTTAAACATCGGAACTGTTGGTTAGTCGTTCGAGACTTCCCTATTGTTCAAGACATATATTTCAGAAGCGCTTCCCAAGAATCTCTAGGATACTGCCGCCGATAGCCTGAATCCTTCCCAAATCCTAAAGCTTGGGCCAACTAGACAAGGTGGATGCTATTCGCGGGAAGGTACACGATACTCGACATCTCTATAAAAAATGCTTCGAATGCTGTTGATTAACGTTTCAGATAGGAAATCGTGCGAAGTGGATGTGTGATGAGCAACTCAAGGACGGTAGATCTTAATTTGACATTAAAGTCACGTGCCGACCCTGTCATCTCGTATGTTTATCGTACATCTCTTTCCACAAACCTGAGCTGGACAAACAAAATTTCGAATGATTTTGAGTCTGACTTAAGGATACGACAGGAAAAATTCATAATACGGAGTAGGTGTAGCGGCTGGCCATGTGCGGTACTGTCGCTTTTGCATGTTTGCTTTTCGATAAGCCACGTCCTCTGCACCTCAGCGCAATGTAGCTACACCAAATTTCCTGATGTCATTGAGCATTATTTGAGGATTCCCTTGATTTCTTAAGCCTACTTAGTTTGAGGACTATTTGAGCGGCAACCTACATAATGTATAATCTCCATTCCCACTGCTAGCGAAATGACATACTTTTATTTCACCACCCAACCAATTTCACGATTATCCTTTCTAAAGTTAAAGCTGATTGATTACATGCATTTGAGACCAATGTCTTTCAACGACATTTGGCAATTCTCTGAGATGAAATGCTCGAGTCTCTCTGGCTTTGATCATAGCTACATGAAGTCATGAAGTCATGAATAAATGATTATATGTTCATTTATAAGGAACATATATTCCGATTTCTATTTTCGAGTTTCTGGGAACTTTTTATAATTAAAGGTCTTGTCCCTAATTGATTTTTGATGATTTCAAACACCATAGCATTTCCTCTCTTATTTTGTCATAATCAACATCAAAGTCTCATTATCACATTTGCACAGCACGGGTAAAGTTATATTTAAAGTTTAATAAAATGTATTTTTTTGGTTTGAGTTCTTGGGTCGAAATCAATCTAATGAAATATCAAATTAGCCAAGCGGAATCGCAGGAATAGGTTATGGAAATGAATGGAAAACGACTTCTACTCCTCCCTCTTCTTTACAACTTCTTTTTGAATGATCCCCAGAGCGACTTACCGATTTTCTTGGCCTTCTCCCTTTTGCTGTCTCTTCTTGAGGGGGTGGGGGGATGATCGAATGTGGCGAGAGCTTCTCTTTGTTTTGTTTGTCTGGCTAAAGTTCCCATGTCCATGTTTTCGGCGATCTGCAGGTCGGATCCATCGAGTGGAACGTATGAAGCTTCGTCTGGTTGGCTTGCGGAACTGGTCTGGTCGTCTGAGGAGTTGTCTTGAATTCCGTTTGCGATGCACCGGGGGCAACATTTTTTCGACCGAATCAACAAGAATCCGAGCTTGTCGACTCCGAGAACGATGCACTCCTTGTCATCTGATGAGGAAACTTTGTGATGTCCGCAACGAAACTCTGTGAGGGCGCCTCGTCTGTCTTCGAGATCTTCTGGTGCAGCAAGCAAAGGACTTATTGGACGAGAAAGGATGACTGGATCCGTGGGAGGTACCTTGTTTCTGCAATCAGGACACTCCTTGTCGAGTTTGGTCCAGGTCGTTTCGGGTCCGGTGATGCATCTCCAGTCTTCCTCGTCCCCAGCTTGGTGCAAAGTGAGGTTGGCGAAGTACTGATGTTCGCAAGAGAAAGTTGTTACGGCGCCGACTAAAAAAAGCATGATTAGGTTTGGTCTTGGGTTTGGTGTTGAGCTTGAGAATGAAGATTATTCTCGGGTCAAAAAGTCTTGGTAGAAAAGATTGGTTTTGGTTATCTAAGCTCTAGGACTGATTGGATGGAGAATAAATAATTCATTTCAAGAGGACTATAGAGACTTATATAAGTTATCGAAAGTGTTTGTTCTAGATTTGTTCTAAATCTTTTCGAGCATTGTAGTTGTGGTTTACATTGTTTGTCTTCAGTTCAGTTCACGATCTCGCCTCGAATCCGCAGAACATAGCAGTGTATTGGTATTGAACAATGGTAGGAATTCTTCGAGGTACAGCACAAACTAATAGGAGGTGCAGGGTACCCAAGTCTGTTTTTCCATAACGTTGTCGTGTCATAAGTTCGCCAGTGAGGTGAGGGAGGGAATTTGATTCATATTGATCACGTGACACTCAACTCCGCGTAAAGGTCTCCATCGTTGGCTCCAGTCATCACTTTATTTATCATTTCGTGTCAATTTTCGTCCAACATCCTTGCTTTCATTGTGGTTAAGATTTTGGTGACATTTTTATTTTGCTTCCTAGCGCTAGATTGAGCACATGCTTGACTACAGGGACGTCTTCAATACTCATATGTTTTTTGAAATGCTCAAAGAGTAGTACCTCGTAGCATTATACACAAAGAAATGAAAATTTGGTATGTTCGCAAAGGTTTCTCTCCACTTAGCTATGCAGTAAGTGTTTTATTTGATCATAATCGGGTCATGGTACATGCGGGCATCATCACGAAAGAGGTATATTAGTCACATTTGCAGGTAAAATTTGGTCCAATTTTAAGTTTAGTTTATTTTTTATCATTCTGGAACTTTGAAATCCATTCATGTAAAATGGATTTTGCTGAATTTTCAACCAGGTCGCTTCTCCTCATTACTTCAGTCCACTGCTTTTCCGAAATCATCTCGATGACTTCATAGCTCGATGGACATCATCCGTGGAGGAGGCGATCGGAACTAGTGGCCGGCGGCAGGGTTTTCTATCTAAATCATCTGGGTTCTTTCGCGTAAAGTCATGTGCGCCATACTTCGGAAGCTCAGCAAATTCGTTGGCATACGGATTTACGCCCATCATTGTTAAACGTCTCGGCTCTCGCGGATGGATGATTATAACCGGATGAGATCTAAGTGGTTCTGGATGTGGCTTTTCCCGACATGTTTTACACAAAAGCGTGGAATCTGCAATCACAGCCGCGGATTTACTTTTGCAGCTCATTCGTCGGATGATTCCCATCACTCCCGGCTCTTGTTCCTCGCCGATTCGAGTGGCCGAACGTTCTTCGTGTCCGCAAGCGTACGTGGTGAGGAGTGTCGTGGACATGATTGCGATGTTCTTGTTCTTCTGTGTATAATAAAATTCAAATGTAATCGTATGGGCGTGAGTCGATATGGAGAGAGAAATTCGTCAACTTCGGGTGTCCAATCCAGCCACTTATGAACAGCATAGAGAGACTTGTTCAGGCACTGTTTTGAAGTAGTCCATCTCGGGATGGTTTGAACCACTAGAAAATAGTGATAGTTCTAGAAATCATTTATTGAATATTAGATGCCTCGGGAGACGTCTTCGTTGAAGCAAGTTTCTAAATCCATGCAATAGTTCGTTGTTTATGGTCACGTGATTGATCTCGAAATGTCCGGGGGATTCGAGCGACATCTGATCAACGCTCGATTAAGTTTCATAAGTCCTCAATGATAAGCAAGAACCGAAAGTCTCTGTTTTAAAGGAACTTTATGTAGAAAAATTAATGCCGTATATAATCCATTGAAAATCTGAAGAAGCAATATTATTCCAGAAATCCAATTCTCTAGTTCGTAGTCAAAGGTTGTGGTATCTAATTGTTGCACGAATTCCAAGTCGCTTTCGTAAAGGTGGCATATCACAGGGTAGCATGGGGTCTCATATTGATGGTCGTGTTTTATTGTATGGAATCGATTGTATTGAAGTAAACGCCTTTATCCGGGTGTCCAATTTAGTTTTTTTTTGTGTTTTTTTCCTTTAGGTTCCCTGTTGGTCCCTTGTTCCCGCGGTCGAGGTCTGTCCGGCTCGCTCTAGCTACTCACCGTGTGAGTTAGGCTAGCTGGGATGACTGCCTATTCTTCTGGGTCCTTGGCGAGAAGCCATTCCGTGCCGTCGTCTTCCTCTTCGTCGAAGAGTTTGACGTATCCGGATCCCGGGACGTGCTTGCGTTGGAGGTGATGATGGGGGTGTTGGGTGTTGGGGTGTGGGAGTCTTCTCTTCTTCCTCCTTGGCTGCCTCCCTGGCTGCCTTCTCTCTTCCTCCTTGACTGCCTCCCTGGCTGCCTTCTCGGCTGCCTCCTTGGCGAGCGCGATGGTTTCCCTGACGCGCTCTTCTCGAAGCTCTTCGAAGGTCTTGTTGGCGTTTTCGGGGTGGGTTCCTGCGGCGAGGAAGTCTTGAGCCGAATAGTCTGCGCAAACTTCGCAGAGGCCTTCTCGTGCGATGTCTTTGGGGACCTTTGCTTTCTTGCTGAGAGCTCTGCGAATGCTTAAGGCTCTCTTGAGTTTCTTGAGCTTGAAGGGGAATTCGGGGAAGCGGTGGCCGCATTCGAAGACGAGGTGATTAACCATGTTGTTTGTTTGTGGGTGAGTGGTTTGGTTTGGTTTCTTTGCTTTTCTGTTGGTTATTATGAGAAGCTCTGAGGATGAGGAAAGAAAAATAAGAGAAGGATTTCTGAAGCTTTATATAGTATTTGAATGGAGTTATTCTGAGAATCACTGTCATTGTTCACTTGACTGTTTGGTGATGGTGTCCAAGGTGAACAACTGGTCAAGTGAAGGTGCATCTGCTCAAGCTCATCTGCTTTCTGAGCGTTACCGTGCTCGACATACTGCAATTGGCTTGTTCAACGGCACATCAGACCTGTTATCCCATTGTAGAGTATCTATTTACATGCTATTCAGTTCCTGTGCTCAAAATGGTGGATTTAAATCTCCTCGTACCACGTGGAATTTGGGCTCGTTTCCCCCGCAAATTACCACAAACTAGTTCGCAGCTAGTCAAAGCTTATCACCCGGGTATAAATAGATGTCGTTATTTTGATGTTGTTCAGTACTTGTTTCACATGCCTATTGCGCAATCTATTCTCCGGCTAACCTCACATTTTTCACATTTGCACATTGGTTGATTTCAGGGGGTGAGTCACGTGTCAATTCCTCGCCTTTTTTTTTTATAGGGATGCTTTCTTTCAATTGTTGACTTCTGTTGATACATTGTAATTATATTGATTCAATTTTACATAATGTGATGAAAACGTGATATCTTTTGCTTGCGAATAGCCGATGAGTAACTTTCATCCATAATTCTATATGTCTAATCATAGAGATTCTGGGTCCACCACGAATTACTCGGCTACCGAATACCGAATACAGATACTAAATTTTCGACTTGCTCAATTGACCTTCCATGAATCCAATAGATGTCAAACAAGCTGATACCATTCATTGTCTCTCAGCACGATAGTAAATGCAGTCTTATAAGCTTTTGAAACTATACCCAGCAATGGCTCAGCATCACAAACATTCTATTAGGGTTCAAAACACTATTCATCATCATTTTTATTTTTACTTCAAATCATTTTTTCATTATGTACTATAAGGTACTGGTCAAGTTTATTTTAATAATTTCTATGTTTCTTATATTCGAACCGTGCTATATACTAAAAAACAAGATTCTATTTGACTTCTAAACAAAACTCCTGAGTCCGTGGTCCGTGGTTACTTTCTATCCTAGGTCCGATTCTAGCCTCACCCTCCTCGTTCGCCGGTCGCTCAAAGCCAGTTCGGAAATCTCATCCCCGGATCCGTTGGCGACTCAGCTCGGCCCTCCTCACCACGAGTGGTAGAAGGAGTCAAAGTGAGAGGATCGGGGATTAAGATGACCAGAGTCCTTGGTCTTGACTCAGAAGACTGGGGTTCGAGTGGTCGGGTGATTCGCTCGTGGTGTCTCCTGAGCGTCTCGGAGGTTTGTTGTCTGACCCAGGCGTTCACCCGGGGGTGTAAATCATGGTCCTTTGGTGGAGGCGAAGGTGGCGATGGGGATGATCTGCGTGGGAAGTCGGTTACACTCCTCTGAAGCTCTTGTCCTGCAAGATTTCGTTGGTGTGCACCTCGACGTCTCACCGCATCCCATCCCGCATGAGAACGTCTGTGCCTGGCAAGCCGGTGGAACTCGTGGGGAGAGGCCATGCCTCTGTATCGGCCTGTGGCTGGGACGCGGGGGTGTTGGGAAATTGAAGAACAGGGAGGTCGGGTGGACCTTCCGCCATGTTCCACAACTGTGCGTTGGCTTGTGGTGGGGGAGTGATCGTGTTTCGAGGTGGAAGTAAAACTGGTAGATCAGGCGGACCATCGGCCATGTTCCACGGTTGTGGAACTTGGGATTGGGAGTCGGTTGAGTCTGGCGAGCCGCGAGCTGGGACTTGAGATCTTACCTGAGGTGCGTGAACCGGATGCGTGCGATCTTGTAGGGTCTGTCCGCGAGGACGTGGGCCGGGTTGCGCTTGCGGTGCTGGTCGAGAACGCTGGCGGGCCTTTGCCTGGCATACAGGGCAAAGATCCATGCTTGGTCTTCTGATGGTTTCGTTTAAGCTGAAGGCTCTCCTTAAGCGATTTACGATCGGATTTCGGTATTGATAGGGTGTGGCCTGGGCCCGCTCTATGTATGCCTGGGTGTCTGGGAGCTCGTGTGTACAGCTGTACACGACGATCCGTGTCGCTGTCATGGAGACGGTGGACTGTTAGTTTGTTGAGGTAGTAATGTGGGTAGCTACTTTGATTGATTAGATCTGAATACTGTGGTTTCGATCCGATTGTTTGTGTAGGGGAGGGAAGAGGTATTCAAATCTAGTCTGACTGGGAGAAGAAAAATATAATGTTTGATCGAGGATACCATTCCTCATATAGTTCCCGTCCGGGATTGTTCTTCTATAGTTATGTAGCTATTACAAAGAGACTCTGAGCTTTGTTGGTAACTCTAGATGTAGAGCCAATTCATTGACGATTGTGCAGTAAATTCTTCTAACTTCACCTATTCCTCGCCGTCCAGGAGAGTAAATTACAATACATACAATTGTTCTATCACTATTCCCTCACTATTCAGGCGCTGTTTAGCAGTTGTCATTGCAATTTAAATGCCAACAGTAAACGTGCAGTCAATTTCAACGGAACTTGTCTATTCTAAACCACCGTCTTCCAATTTCTACCTACTCATTCCAGAGCTCACCATTGTTTCATACCTGTCCACGACTTGTTCTGATGCTATTTCGGGACTGTTTCGATTCTGTTGGCTTCTACTCTATCGAAAAACAGTTAATGCTAGGTTTCAATTTCCTCACCTCGTTGATTCCTGGTGACTAGAATTCTTCACTTTCCTCTAATCGGGGCAGATGTACACATTATGACACTTTCATGTACTTCAAAGTATGGGATAGCTAACTCGAACGAAATTTCAATTGAAAACTATTCATATCCAGCTCCAAACCCCTCGAATCCAAAGATATCGACAACCCAACATCTCCCATTTAGAATCACGTGATACGCCGACGTCACAACCATGCAAACCGAAAAAGAAGCTTTTCGCGAGGAGAAGCGACAAATTAGCTCCGAAGATCAATATGCCAAGAAAGATTAAACGATAAACCCTTTTCAGCCTTATCCAGAGCTAGCAAGTTGATAATTCTAGTTATAAGATGTAACTATGAAGCTATTGAAAAAAAAAAATGATGACATAATTAAGTAATCAAGTATTTAATTCCAAGCATGACTCTCCAGGGTAAAGCAGTAAGCTTAGACTACAATACGAATGTACTCAGAGATAAAATGAATTAAGCAAACTAATAAGCTATGAGGATACCAGCTCTGATATGGATACATCAAAGCCTTTAGTAATGCTAATTGGGGTGGTCTACGCCTGCTCTAGCACCACAAGAACCATATCTTGACATATTTCAAAAGATTCTTGTATCGTTCGTCTCTACTGAATTATCTCCGTAGGATTCTCTTCCTGACTTCGATAATATGTATCCTTTACATCGGGGAGGGGGGGTCTCTTACCTACTTGTAGAGCCTGCAAGTCAATAACCCAGGGAGTACGGACCATGTTCATCTCACTCGCATCGTAACATTCATTTCATTCATCATATTTTCACATTATCACAATTTTCAAAATTCGAAGTACACAAGAGCAAGTTTTTGTTTGTTTAAGTTTTTAAAATTTTAGTAATTTTTTTAAGTATTTTAATTATTTCGGCATGTTCCAATCAATGATATATTATTACATGACTCCGTTGAGATTCGCAAGGTAATGATTGCCATCCTCACGAAAAAGATCGCTATCGCTATCTCCCTATACAAAAGAAAGAAAATCATTAGTCTTAAGCTCATAAAGAATCATAACGCCAGGGATGATAAAAGAAATCGGGGGCTGACTTACTCCTTCCGCACTAGTTGGCAACGAGCTTTCGTCCTCTGCTCCTTTATCGCCTTCTCCTCTTTGATTTTCGCTGCTCTTGCGCGCAGATCTAATCTCGGAGATTCGGATTCTTTTGGAGGCGCTATTGAGGTGTGTGGAGTTCGGGCTTGTATGAAGAGCTCCTTAAGATCCGTAGGACGAGCAGCCGGTGGCGCCTGATCTTGTATAAACTCGTTATAATCCCTGGCTGCATTCCTCGCTGTCCACTCCTTGCGGACCTTCTCCTCCCAAAACAACCGCGCTCTCCTATCCGCCGGCGACTCTCTCGCAAGACTACCCCTCAGCCGTTCTTCCATATCCCGTGCATGAAAGTCTTCTCGAAGAAGTTCCATGTTAGTATCCCGGTAGGGATTCCGGGGAGGAAGAACGGAGTCGACGTCCGCGTCCGAGTCGAATCCTTTATCCGAGATCGGCGACACTGGCGATACTGGTCGTCGCGCAGCTACGGTGTTGTACCGTCTTGCTTGGATAGGAGTCCTTTGGGACCGGGGTGCTGCTGGTCTGGTGTAATCTTTGTTAGGGCTTGTCTGCGGTTGCATTGAGGCCTGCGCCTCTCTTTGCGCTTTCTCTTCTCTTTCCCGTTCACAATACGGACACAACTCCAAGGAGGGTGTGCGGATTGTTTCAGTAAAGGTTAGAGCTCGCTTGATTCTTTTGATGACGGATGGCTTTGTTGGAGCTTGGAAGCTCAGATTGGGCAGCTCGTGACTGCAAGCGTACACGATTTTCCTGATCTGGGCTGGCATTCTTGCTGGTGGTAGATGATTTTTTGGTTTGTTGGTTGATTAATTCGTCGATAACTTCAATTCAAAACAGACTTTTTGCGTGGTATGAAGAGTATGTAGATGAAATGAAGAGATGGATGAAGATAATAAACTAACATCCCATCCCGGAAACTCTCGAACTTTATACCCCCAGAAACGGATTGTTCTGCGACTCCGTAGCATTGTTCAGAAAATCTTTGACGACATCAACAATAATATCGACGCACATGACCTCATAATACAGTCTACGAGCATCGAACAGACTTTGAAGTAGATTTCGTCCTTCGCTTTCCGTATCCGGGGAGTCGAGTGTAATAGTTTTTGGTATGTTGTTGGCGTGGAGTTGTATTCAAAGTATGCTTTCTCATCTAGGATGAAGATATATGCACATGGTAGTGAACAAATCCAAATTGATAGCGTAAATGATAACTACCCAGAGAAGCTAAGTCTTCTGGGTAGTGAGCGAGGAGAGGTAACCCCAACGCTGAAGAGGAAAGAAAATTCATAACTAGGGGGAAAACTTGCAAAGTCATATACGAATATATTTTCAAAGAAAGAAAATTATTTTCGAGACAGGCGCGTTTCAGCCAAGGACGGGAATAAAATTGCGTATGTGGCGCTTATGTTCTGGAAGAGAGTAGAAGATAGGGCTGAGATGATCTCATAATAGTTTCTCTTTGTGTTGTGACATGTTCTGAGATGATTCTCATGTTGTTCTAGAATATGTATGTGAAATATGATATATTTAGTTGTTCCAATGGGGGCTCCATGTTGTTTTGACGGTGAGATTAAATTGAAGACTTGATCTATTTTAATACATGTCTTAGAGACACGAAGAGTGCGACTCTTTTGTTTCGATTCTTTGTAAATTGCATGTTTGAGGATAAAGAAGTCAATCCGCGATAAAGAAATTCCATAATCTTTATCAAAACCCTCAAGTTCGAACAATGGCCAGAAGAATCTACTTAATTCGGATAATAGCCATTGTAAATTCTGCAGCTCATCCTCTCAGTAACATCAAGTCCAGTCTTCGAATTACAAAGGCATACAACTTTATATATACCTTTATACTTTAATTAAACAAACAACACCACACAAACACAAATCCACTTCCAATATGTCTTCAAGAACATCTTTCAAGCCAGTCGAGGTGCAGGTAGTATATGGAGAGTGCGGACACGTTTTGAGAAAGACCCAGGTAATCCCCATCCAAGTCCCCACAGGAGGAGAGACGTCCAAGAATAAGAAACGCAGCGGCTCTACTTCATCTAACACATCTAAATCATCTCGTCGCAGCAGCTGGAAATCTTTCCTCTGCACTGGCGCAGAACAAGCTGAGAGTGACTCTGACAATGAAGCAGATCTCGAATTCCAGTGTGCAGGAATTGAACTCGTCGACCATATTGCCGGCTTGTGTCCAGACTGCACTACCCGACAAAGCCGCTTGATTGCCCAGCAACAAGCACGAGGCGCCGAAATCATCCGCGCTCAAATTGCTCAAGAGCAAGATGATGAGCGTGAACGACAACGTCGAAGCTATAGGCGCATGGAAGACAGACGTACCAAGTTCAGATGCGGCAAATGCGTCAAAGAAGATCGTCATCCTATTGACCGATCGGCAAATGACGGATTCTGCTGCGAATTCGGACAATCGTTCTGGAATGCCAAGATACCCGATGCTGAACACTTTTCAGTCCCTACCACGGAATTGAAGCGCATGACACTCGGCACAGCTGAAGCACGACACGCCGCGACCAAGGCAGCCAATTCCTATGGATGGAAATCCCAACCTGATCGGTTCAACAGTATTGAACCAGAGGTTATTTCCCAATTCATCGGAATCCCAGGAACCCAGCCTGCGTCTTTACCTGCTCCAGCAGTCCCCAGATACGAGGACGCTAACCTAGACATCGATCGATGGAACTCTCAGGTACAAACATATCGAGGCACTGCGCCCGCACCAAATAGACCACTCCCTCCAACCCCATTGTCGAGAAAGCCTCGGGCTACGCCAGTGAGATTGCAACCATCTGATGGACGACAAGGAGCTAGCAAGGTAATTCCGCTCAGGACCAAGGACTCAGATGTGTCTGTCATGACATCCCCATTGAAGAGTGGCGAGGTGTCACCAGTGTCACCCACCAACAGTCATTGGCCATCGAGCCTTTCTAGACCATCAAGCCTTACTAGACCCAAGACCCAAGATGAGGAATACAACTTGGAAAGAGAGATGTCAAATCTTGAACGCGAAATTGATGGTGCACTAGAGAGTTGGACACAGCCACAAGCAGAACCAGAACCACAACCACAAGAGAGACGACGCAGAAGATGATTTTCCTTTGTACAAGATAGAGCGACCGTAAGAGAGGATGCAGAAAACAATTACACTCATTAGTTTCCTTTGTTGGCTTTTCCTGGAAGGAACACTGTCTCACTTTCCTTTGTTAGATTCTTTCATTTGTTTCATACTCTTCAGGAATCAATAGCGGAGAAAAAGATCTAGGCAAGCAAAAACTTATAATAATTTAAGAAATATATTTACAGTACGAAACAGAATGAGTTATATGAAATGGTGATGTATAGAATGTGAAATGAATGAAAAGTGTAGGCCGTGAACGATATAGGAGCACCGGTTTATTTGAATGGAATTGTAAGCAATATATTCGTCGCACAGAGCGCACTGTGACATTATATATGACATTAGAAGGTGTAGATATGGTTGCATGTTGCGTGGTTCTCTTACCCTTGTACCGTAAATTTAGTCAAGTCAAGCAGTCGGTCTTGTTGACATTGGTCATGATGTATGTAGGTATGTAGTGTAAATCCAAACACATTGATTTATCTAGGTAGGCATGCAGAGTGGTATTCGAGGGACTAAACATGGTATTCTCTGCATATCAAAAACTCGCTTGCAAATGTACAATTGAACCAAGAAATTAGGAAACGCCTCGCACCTCAAAAATAACTCCACCAAATGGGCTTATCCTTCCGGAAAGACTTCACTTCCTGCGAAAGCTTTTCTGAACTTTGCTACCAATCTAAGGCGAGCTCCGTTGACCTTCTGAATAGACTGCCGCCTCTACCATTGCGCTCATGTCCACCTTTTCTTCCCTTGCCCTCCATGGACTTTTCCATGCGTTGCTCGTCTGTGTGATATGTCTCGGTCCTATATCGGGATTTCAATTGGCTTTGCCGTTCTTAATGTTACCGTTCGACTGCGCAGCTTTGAATTTGGCGACCTCTTTTTCAACTGCAACATCGATCCTTTTTTGCAATTCTGGTCTGTATCCGAAGATAAATAGCAACTCCATAAATACGAAGAATGGAGCGAGGACTAAAGCTTGTACGAGGTTGTCGAGTAATGCGGGGGCACGCTTTTCGAAAGCACCATGGCCTACAAATTGCATAATCCACGAAACAAAGAATACAGCACCAGCGATTTGGTTTGCCAAAGTAACATTTGAAGACGTAGCAAGGATATGATTTGAGAATGCGGTCCATCCGATGATGAATGGGAGAAGGATACTGCCTGCGACCGGTTCGAGAAGGATGTAAAAACCGCCATAGCATATTGATCCGATTGTGCTAAAGTTCAAAGGTAAATTTGGAATAGTAAGCCATGATGGCAGAGGTATCAATGTGGGACTGTTGGAGCACTGTTATATATTGTCAGTATGCCTGTCGTCCTCAGTCTCAAGATCGCGAAAACTTTGGGGCCATACAAGGAACAGGCTGGTGGCCAGAATCAATGGCACACATATCATATGAATGAAAACATTTGTAGGATTGTGATGGTAGGCTCCGTACTATATTTAACATTAGCCTATGTTTAGTAGAGTCGCAATATTCGCAATATTCGCCCGGACTTACAAAGGTAAGCTGTTTCTCAAGGTTGAGAGACATTTTGAAGAAATGATCTGATGCGACAGGTTCAAAATCTTTGCGTATGTCTGCGATATTCAGGAATGAAGAAGCAAGTAGATTTTAAGCTTGATTTGATGGTTCAAGGTTGAGGCGCAGTCATTAACTCATCGAAAATGTAGGAGTTCTCGGAATGAGTACAAGATAGAGAGATAGAGGGGGAGAGCGGGTAGGATATGATCTGATTTGATAGAGAAGGTAAAGGAATTTAAGGTAATCAATACATCAATTCAGCCAATTTTGCCTGTTTAAGCTGGTCGCACTGAAAAGGGTGGTTTGAATGGATGCGTATCAAGGTGAAAGCATGTGTTGAACAGTGAACCTCGGAATCAGAATGTGAGGGTGGTGGGTTGGTGGGTTGGTACTTCGGAATCCTCGCTCGTAGAATGGAAGTAATGAGTGGTCGAGTGGCAGAGCAGAGTGGCATGTCATTTTCGTAGTTTGTATTAGTAATCAATCAGTCATCAATTATACGAAGTATTCACCCTCATGCGAGCCATGCTAGATAATGCATGCAGAGCGTGCAGACAGTCAATACCTCATACCTTAATATACGCAGCAGCTAGCGCACATTTCATCCTAACGTCGCGGGAAAAGTCTCGAAACTCTTTAGATCGCGTAACCTTCAACGTCGGGGCAGTTGAGCTCTCTCTCGCTTTCTCGCTTTCTCGACTCTTCTTGTCTTCAATACTTATACATTTCCCCCCAATAATAACAATCCCAAACCACAGCATCGACAAACCTTTGCGCATTCTCTGTAATATCTTTCAGGGATCTGCCAAAGTGTCACGTCTTTGCAATTTCATTCATTTTCAAACAATGTATGTTCAAAGTTGACTATTTCCGGCTTTGATGAACTTTGACTCGAAAACAAAGAAGACTGACAGTTCACAGAACAGTGAGATTGACTCGGCACATCCATCATATTACAAACAACCTTTAGGCGGACTTTGCGGTCCGAAAGAGACTCAACATTTATATGGGATTGGGTGAATAACTTGGGCTTTGGAGCAGGCTGAATATTAAGAGTTGAAGAGGGAAGGCTCTCGAATTATCCGCACTGTCTCAATAGACAAATATATTTAAACTCCGCCTCCTTTCAATAATTTCACCTTCTCTCCGACATTACAAGTTTCTACCAAGAAGGAGGATTGTTGTGTTGCAGCGCAATCCCAAAGTTACATTAACTCGCCAGAAAGGGCTTTGATTCTACAATCCTGAAATCCCATCCACTTCGCTATCTCTTTCGCTCTTCACCATTAAAAATGTTTTTCCTCTACAATCTTGAGCGTCAGGTCACCCTGCACCCATCGTACTTTGGTCGCAATATGCATGAGTTGGTGACTGGCAAGCTATTGAAAGATGTTGAAGGAACATGTACTGGTCTTTACTACATCATCACAATCATGGATACCTTCAACATTTCTGAAGGAAGAATCCTTCCAGGAAGTGGATTGGCTGAGTTCACTGTTGGATATCGTGCTGTAGTGTGGAGACCCTTCAAGGGCGAGACTGTAAGAACTCGATTTTGTGAATTCATTTAACCTGCATTTCTCATGAACATATGTAGGTCGATGCTATTGTAACCTCAGTCAATGCTGTCGGTTTTTTTGCGGATGCCGGTCCTTTGCCCCTCTTTGTATCTGCACATGTAAGTTTTGTTTATTGTTGTTGGTATGCGATCCATACTAATTCAACATAGCTGATTCCTCGTGACATCAAATTCGATGCAAATGCAACACCGCCCCAGTTTACAAACAATGAAGACTCTGTTATTGAGCCAGGTACTCATGTCCGAGTAAAGATTATCGGTACAAGACCTGAAGTTGGAGCCATGTTTGCTATTGGTAGTATCAAAGAGGATTATCTCGGGTGAGTTTCCTATCCTAGTTTGTTACATCGAACTATCCCAACTAACTTCATGTCTAGCTGTTTGCAAGCTTCGTGATCCTTGATATAACTCAGCCTTAACTAAACTCTCAACACCTTTCAAGCATGTTCCAGTCATAACTTCAGGTTTTTATGATGCAAGACCTAAGCTTTCTTGAACCACACCACTATTGTCATTTCATGGAGATATGACCTACCCCAGCGCATTAGCTCAATCCTTTGAGCTCTGAGGTTTAATAAAGTCCACCAGCTTCACTATGGCAGGAATTTGGGTGAGCTCAATGTTATAAATGGATAGATGAATGGATATCTATCTTACAAGTATTTCTGCTATTATTGTTTAGTGACTGGTTCTGTGAAACTCTAGCTAGGTATTTTCATTTTTTGGTTCAATGGTCAGATAACAATCTCAAACATTTTCCTGGTCAAATATACCACATCATGCATTTAAACTTTACTTCAAGGACAGCGCAATTTGCAACCCATTTATCTGCATGCGTTATTCGATCGATTTGAAGAACTGTTTTTGTGTTCATGTTGGTGTTGCTACTTCTTGTTGATAGTTCAGCTCAGCATGAAACCACACCTTTTTTATTCTTGGTTCTACCATCACCAAGGGCCAATTCCGAAATGTAGCTTTGGAATATGATTCTGAACAAATGATAAATCCATGTCAGCCCTGTCTAGAAAAGTGAAATTGTGTTTGAAAATGCGAGTACAGAACTAGTGTGGTTCCCTGAGCAACGTCATATTTTCGTTGCTGTATAAATCATGTCTGGAAAATGTATTTTTGTGGTGAATGATAATACATCAATTAGCTTATTAGCGAGTAGAGCTCCAACTCTAATGGCATATCGTTTCTCGCAGACATGTCCTAAGTTCCTGTAGGAACCGTTTCTACACCTAGGCTACTTGTTTACGGTTCGTATACCACAACCTGCTCAATACGGCAGCTTTATAACCTCATGGTTATTCTGTTCTCGATTTATATTACGGTCTATTCAGCATCATATATCACAACGTACTCAACACGTTAGAATAACTTTTTACTTCCTCATCGTTTGCTAGATGTTAAGTGAACTTCTTACCCATATAACTGCATCCAATAATCTACATTCGTCAAAGTCTGATTGGTCATTTTTCGAACTAACAACAGTCACGACTTCAATATGGCCAACGCGGCAATCAGCGATAAATATATGAGACATGTTGGGCAGCTAACCGCCAAATGTAAGTGTCAAGATAACCACATCGTATGTCAACCACCGCAGTTCCATCGCCACCGCTGCCGTCCAAAAAACCAAGATACTCGAGGAGACGAAAAACGGAGAAGTTAAATGCCTTGCTATTGAGCCGACGATTCCCCCACCGCAGCCCGAGACATATACCGGACATCTCGCTGTGCTTCGCAACCCAACTCATAAAGAGTGGGAATCAAGACCTCACAGATATCTTTCTCCCACGCTCTGTAATATCTCACCGTATTATGTCAAACGATTCGTCGAACCTCCAGTTCGTGAAAAGCTTCTCGAGGGAAAATGGCCGGGGAAACACCATGAATTTACCATGGGGAAGGCTCAAGAGGATGAGATTAAGATTATGCAAGATAGTGGAGTGGTGTATAAGAAGGAAAAAGACAAATATACCAGTCGAGTAGAAGCACAGAGGAAGGAAATGTATGAATTCGAAAAGCAGCTTGAGATTCTGATGACGAAGATACAGGAAATTCGATGGAAGCGAGAGAAAGAAGAGGAATTATGCGATTATCTGGAACATCTCGTTGGGGTTAAGGAATGCGCGGAACAGCAGCGAGAATTTGAGGAGCAGAAGAAGGAATTTTGGCAGGAGAGGAGAGGTTCAAAAAACGGATAGAAGAACGGGTTCAGAGCATGATGCTTTCGTTTAATTACGCGTGTGCAGCTGAAGTTCGAAGTTGTATATTGGTTGAGAATATTGCGCAGGCGCATGAGCTGCTTTTGAGGGATTGGGGGAGTGTTTGGAGAAGCAGGATGTGAAGGAGTGGAGGGATCGGGAAAGGGAAAGGGTGGAATGGGTGAAACGAAAGAGAGAGGGAGGTGGAAGAGGAGGAGAATGTTGAGAATTAGTTTGTGTATGATTTTTCTTGATGTTTCTGGTGTTGGTGAGAAGATCTCTTGAATCTTGATGGGGTGGATGGATCTTGGGCTTGTTAGGTTGGGTTGGGCTATATCTCTATTCCATAAACGACATGAACAATTACAATTATCCGAGCAAGTCTGTAGGATAGGATACCTAGGTACAACATGGTTAGTTAGGAATTATCCAGAAAGAGTTTGATGCTTCAATAAACCTTTTTAAATTGTATATGAAGCTGTGATGTGACTAGTTTTCTTTCTATCTTTTACATGTGAATAGATTGCATCTCTACTTTGTATATAGACATAGACTTGACATCAAGGCGCATACCCAGTATTTACATCTGTGCGAGCTCACCAGTAAAATCAAATTAATTACACAATTAATTATCCTAGACTTCAACCACCTAGCTAGGATAGGCCAATTTTTGCCTTGTATCATACTCTGCTGAATAAATAGGAGAGGAGTGGAGTAGTACCATGGCAAGATTCATGCTGTGTTTTTATATCTAGAGTTTTTATTCATAACATATAGGTACCTAAGTATAGTGTGATAAATTCTTTGTGGGAATGTCTGATGTATATATATGTATGTTCTGAGCTATGAAGTAGAAATGAAGAAGATGGGCTGTAGACTGATGTCTTGAATTGTTAATTACAGTTTTGTGTTGTATTGTGTGTTAACAAGTGTGTTAACAAGTGTGTTAACAAGTGTGTTAACAAGTGTGTTAACAAGTGTGTTAACAAGTGTGTTAACAAGTGTGTTAACAAGTGTGTTAACAAGTGTGTTTGAGAACTAATTTAGTCCTAGTGTCCTGAATGCTAAAGCTGAATTCAGCTGTGAGAGATTTGAATAATTTCAATTAATTTGTTGTTCGAGATTTGTGGGGAAGTTTTGCAGGTTCTTTCTTGTATATTTCATTTGGGTTTTAAAGAGGTTTCTTATGGGTGGATTTGGAACTCAGTATTCATGATTCTGGATGTAAGTGAGTGGTATACTTGTCGGCTATGTTGATAAATTCTGTCAACCATCTTGGGAGCCATGACGATAATGAGAAGACAAGTATATTCGGATAAAAATAAAAAGCTAAGCGGCTATTTATCAAAGATGATCACAGATAGGACCTATACATGAGGCAAAATGCTTTGTTAGTTGTGAAGAATTACCATTTTATGATCATGGATTCTGCTCATCACAATTATATATCCTTTGGGTACAAATTCAGAGATTTGGAGAATCCCTTAGCAGGTTGGAGATCTATATTGATAGGTTTTCTGTCTATTAATTAGGTGCTGACGGTCTCTCTTGCCATGATTTACTTCACTATCATCGTCAGATAACCTCGAAATAGACTTATATCCAGAGTGTGAATAAATACGGTACATTAATTTCTCAAATTTCAGAGTATATAAATAGTTACAATTGGAATATGTATTCCCCAAAGAAAATAAACACATTGATTGCTTAAATCAAACCGTCATATCTTGAGTCCTGCCTTTTTACTTGTGCTCTTTGTATCCTGGTTTTCTCTTCATTCCTTCGAAATGCTGGTATGGTCTACCCCCGGTACCTGTTGAAAATGCCATATGAGTTAAATGTACATACAAATACCTAGCCGGCTCGCCATGCATGGTGAGGAGAGCAGATTCTGGGGGCCCGAACATAAAATAGTTCTCCAGACCTTGGTGAGTGACGGCAAGTTGGAGTTGCCCATTTGTCATTCTCACAAGAGCGTTATTGAGCTGCTCTTCGTCATAAAAATTTACCCTTCCCTGGTCCTCCGCTCTTGGAATCGTTTCAACCCAGTCCCTCAAAAAAGCCTCATTGGTCAAGCCGCGCGTCCATGGCTCCTTGGGATACTGGTTCTGAAGAGATAGTACCACAGCTGCAGCACCACATGTACCAAACTTGCCAGAAATTATAGCTGTCGTGAAGAGCTTTTCCCATTCATTCCTAGAGAAATTCTTTATCCTCAATCTTTCATGAATAGTGCCAACGTTGATAAGTTCAAGCTCCTCTAGCCCAATTTTTGTGGGCTTAGGGTGATCAACTCGGAGCTCGAAACCGACCAATGATGTTCCACGTTCTGCTGCTAGCCTGTTCTCTTCTTCCTTTAATAGCTTCAATGCAAGGCGCTCGTCTTCAACCATCATCTGCTGCTTTTGAGCTTCTATCGCATCACTTTCTTCTGTGTGTGGGTTTGCGTAATCTGGAAGCCACGATTGATGGCTATCTGAAAAGATAGAGACGGCCGCTGCTATAATTGCTTTATTCGCGTCATTAGTGTTGTGAAGTTGCTCCATTGCTTCTCTACGGAGCTGTTCGTCTTGCAAATATTTGAAACTCTCGAGTATCTCGAGGACCCCATCGATTGTTAGTGTCCCTGTAGGCTTAAAGGCACTGGATGGAGGAGAGATCTTCGGTCCTACCACAGGCGGAGGCTTAGGAATGGGTTTGATTCTCTTATGATCTCTCTCATCTATGGTCTCTTCTGCGGGTCTTTTCTCCGGAGTCTTTTTGTCTATATCCGGAAGTGAAGGATAAATAACTTCCGTGGTTGTTCCAGTGACTTGTGGTTTCACCGATGTGGTTGGCACATGATAGTAGGTCAAATTATGTATAGGGGCCTCATATCTGTCAGTAACAGGGAATCACTCAAATGAAGGTTCTAGGCTACTTACAGTTGTGACTTTGGGTCCTACATCCGAAGCATTTGAAGTGGTAAGGCTACTAAACCAGCTAAGACCGCCCACCTTGGGAGGAATTTTGGTTACGGGTTCAGGCGGTGGGATCTTGACCTCGGTGGGTTTAGGTTTTGAAGGTTGAGGAATTCCTATGATCACACCTTCGTGATCATCAGTGGTGTCATTTGGCGGCGGTTCCTCTACTGGCTTTTCGATTTTCGGTTCTGTGATTTTCGGTTTTACTTTGAAAGCAGTTGGTGTCTCTTGTTTGGGTACATAGACACCTGTATTTGTATGCTGAGGCTTATGTGGCGAAATATCTGCATATGTACCGACGCCATGTATAATATCGTGATCTGGATCATAATTTGTGTCTATCCAAGGTTTGGGGGATACAGGTTTCTCATTTTCATCAGGCACGTAATCTGGATTATCTATGTCTGTTTCGTCTGACGGAGTTTTAGGGGGAGGCTTCGGTTTCTGTGATGGTTGACTGGGTTGTGAACTTGGCCCTGGCTGGCCTACTGGGTGAACTTTTGGCGGAGGCCTCAATGGTGGAGGTTTTGGAGGTTTTAGTTGTTGAGGATTTATTGGACGTGCAGTAGCTAGATCGCTGATAGTCGTGTTGAAGTATGAAGCAAGTGATTCCATAGCACTTTCTGCTGGCGGAATACTGGATCCTCCACCGACGGCTACATCAAAATAAGGATTATTTCCGGTTTTCTCTTCCAATCTTTTTAACAATCTCGCTCTAGCTTCCGAGATTTTTTTCGGTCTTTCAGGCTTTGCGGGTATTCGTTTTGGGAGTTTCTTTATTTTCCGAGTTGGAGAGAAAAGTGGAGGGTACTATCAACGGGGTTGGCGGCTTTACGGGCGACAGTCCCGGTAAGGTAGGATATGACACCACACCTGTTTGACCACCCGGCGGCGGAGGCATTCCACCAGGTGGCGATCCTCCAGGTGGCTTAGGTAGTCCCCCAAGTGGTCCCCCAGGTGGCCCCCCAGGTGGCTTAGGTGGTCCTCCAGGCGGTTTAGGTGGTCCAGGGGGCTTTGGAGGCTTGGGGGGTATCTTCTTCTTTTCCCCGGGAAGCTTTTCAGTGTCACTTCGGTTGTCTTCCTCTCTAAATCCCATGTACTTAGCAACTTTGCTTCTCCAAAAGTTTACACTCCTTTCATTCAGCTTCATAAGATCCATTAATCTGAATATATCAACCTCTTCTATGGCATCATCATTTTCCTCAGGCCATTCTTGGATTCTGTCGTTTGGATTGGAAACATAATATTCGGCAAGCTTCACCAAGTTCAAGCAGAAATCGACCCATTGAGTGACATCCTTTACATTGAGGGAACCGCGAGCTTGTCGGAACTCAATGGTATGAGCCCGTGATGAGGATCTCAATGACAGGAAATTTACTAGTCTGTTTGCGTGCGTCAGAGGGAAATTCATGTAACCAGCCAGTTCCTTCTCATCCCTTAGTTGATCAACTTCATCGCGAATCTGTTGAATTGTTCTTCTCTCTCTATAGAGAGAAGTCTCCGGTCGCTGATCCCAGATCTCATGGATTGTTTCCTCATATGTGACATAATCCGCGCCCAGGAGCGTGTGCAAGCGATTACTAATGAGGTTGCCCCTTGCAACAGGATGACCCGGACGACGACATCTAGGATGTAGCTTTGAGATCTCCTCTTCGTATATCAGCAAAATACAAGCCAACTCCTTTAGTGTAGCAAGGTCGGGGGCCTCGACATGCACATGAAGGGCACATTGATTCGTTATGAAGCCTTCATATAGTTCATCTCCGGTACCCTTGAGCGCTTTGACAATTTCTTCAAGCTCGGCGGTATCTTTATGGTTGTTACTCTTGAGAACTCGAGATACCACTTCTATGCCATAAGAATCCCATCGTTTAGAAGTTTTGCCAGAGATACGTGGTATCCATTTATAGAGATTTGCGGAACCTTGGCCGACAACCGTTAGATCTGTCGAAATGATCCATTGATCGTAGGACCCTTTAGTTTTATCCTTCTTTTTTCGTAAACCACTGTGCTTGATATTACCTTGAAGCCTATCAATCTTGTTGTTAAGTTTATTAAAGACAATTTCTTGTGGTTCGAGATTATATGGCCTTAGATTAGATATATCCTTCTTCTCGTCCTCATTTTTGACGTTATTTTTGCGAATGGCCCAACTATTGTAGATAATGTTGGCAAGTCTTCCAAAGGGCACGTTGACCGCTGGACTCCATGCTGGGTCGCGACGAATGGCTAATGGAACATTTTTCTCGATTCCATTGTTAGGGCCATGCCCCTCACGGTCTGTAAGATTGAGTTCTAGATCATGAAATGCCAACACATATTCCAATTCGACCCATACTTCAGACTCTTTCGCTTAGATTTTGTTTTGTCCTCAGCTTGTAATTGAAATGGATTCGGGGTTGGGAGCGTATAAATAAAAGGCGAGACAGCGCGGTGAATCCAGTCGAAAATCATATTGCAGACCGTTGATCTTGTAGCTTTTCTTAGATTCTCTGTGCCACGGTGTTTGAGAAAAGGAAGCTGAAATGTGAAGCTGACTGCTGTAAAAGAGGAGAATTATCCTTTGATAGTACGAAAACGGACTCAAACAAAGATGCACATAATCAGAAAGGATAATAGCCCAAGTAAGAAAGATAACAATTAAAGTAAGAAACTCCTTTGTTCCAACAAGTAGCATCTTACAATTCAATTAAAGTACTCTCGTCGTCCACCTAGCTACAGGGTGGGAGGCCGAGATCAACTACTTCTGGAGCCCTAATCAGCACAAACAATTGCAAGCAGAAGTCAATCATTTCTAGAGAAATATCTGAGAATGCAGAAAGATTTAATCATTCCTGCTCGCCCACTCAGGGGGCTTCAACAAGATACTCGTCAAAGTTGACTTGTTCCACCCCGTTTAATATTTGGCTTATAGGGAATTTCCGTTAAACTACAAGAATCACAGACTACTTCTGTAAAGCCAATTTGTTCCCGATGAAAATGATGATTATTAGGAATATTCCGGACAGTGCAACACGTGCGATAGTATGCTAGGTGTAGGTGGCCTGCCAAGCACTTGATGCAAAACTATGTGATCAAAAAGGAATAAAAACGCTGTCAAGCCATGAAGGTAGATAAAACAAAAAAACGAAAGAAACTCGCTTTCCCCCATAACGAGATCCATTAAAGGCTCAAATACAATGCGCAGCTTGAAGAATAGAGATAAAATCTACTGCCACCCATCAGATCCTAAGTCGCTTAGTCATGTGCAATAAATGACCTTGAAGAGTAGACCATAAGAAGTATTGGATGAAACAGATGACATTGCAATATCTAGCAGGAAGCAAATATAAATCCAACCAATTCTAACTCCTCGTTCGAATCCGATTCCTCGTCTTCATTCTCCTCGGGTATCGCTTCCTCAATCTCAATCTTTCTGATATCCTCTGCAGATCCTATGATACAGATGAACCTCGGTGCAGTTAAATAGACGGATCAACATCACTTGGTCTCCAAGCTGTGAAAGTTGACGATTGCAAAGACTCCAGATTACATGTTAGTTGTCCACGGGAAGTATTCAATTAAGAGAACGGTGCAGCACTCCACGTTGAGTTATCAGGATTTTGTAGTATCGTGATTGTTTCGAAGGTGTGCCTCTCGTCAGGAATGGTGGCAGTTGGGACAATAGCAGGTTTGGATGCTTTCTCAGGTTCAGATTTGGTGGCATTAACTAGTGTCTCCGTTACCTTTTTCTTCAGATCTTTTGCTTTTTGTGCCGCTTCTTGAGTTGCTTGTCGCATAGCTAATGTAATAGTCGTTTCGGCAGCCCCAGAAGGTTTCGTGTTGACCGATTTGGGTGTCGATGCGGGAGGGGCAGCAGGAGCCACAGCCGGCTTGTTATTCTCTTTAATATTGGTTGGAGGTTTTGCTTTGATGGCTGGGTTTGCACCAGGTCCCGACACAGGTACAATCTTGATATGTTGCTTCAATTCGCCGTATTCGTTCCAATCCTCAATCTCAACGAGATCCTGAATTGTTAGCCATATTCTCTGTATCGTCTGATTTCAACATACACCAAGAACCAACCCTTCCTGGACTAAGCCTGGAATCTTTCTAGCACGTCCCGATTCATCTTTACCAGCTCTGCGACCCCATAGCATTCGTGCCTTTTCATCGGTCGCAATATCAAGCGCTTTGAATGGGATTCTGTTCGCTTTCAAGATGGTCTCCAACCTCGATGTCGCAGTAACAATGTGCGATGAACCGGAAGTCAACGATGTGTACAGATAGAGAGCAGGATCGGTGGAGTAGGAAGCAGAAGAAGACGAAGCCATATCTGTTACCTTTGAAGCCTGAAGTGCGGGATGTGTAATGCTGTGACTGGTGTAGTTCGTCGACGACGATAAAGGTGATGAATAGGCAGTTTGGTAATTTCCGGTTTTGACGTTTATAATTAGAACTTCGTAGAATGCATTTGAGTATTCATAAAAGCTTTATATATTTCGATATGGTATAAATCCGAGACGATTTGGCAGGAGTATTGAGGGGACCGTGAATGTCAGTTCCGTGTGAGCGCATTGTTTCAGGGTCAAGCTTAACCTTATCGGCACAACCCATTGATAAGAGCTCTAAATCCCGAGGTGAGCGAGCACCGAGCCAAGATCAATCCATTCACGTAACAAAATATGACAACTTCTAATGGTGCTCAATTATTAGCCCGCGCTCTCAAAGACCTGGGAGTAGAGGTTATATTTGGTCTGGTTGGTATACCGGTGGTACAAATCGCGGAGGAAGCAATTGATGTAGGGATACGATTCATTGCATTTCGAAATGAACAAGCTGCAAGCTATGCTGCCACAGCATATGGATACTTAACAGGACGGCCTGGAGTTTGCCTCGTTGTCGGTGGTCCAGGTGTGGTTCATGCAATGGCAGGCATAGTCAACTCATCTGCCAATGCCTTTCCAATGCTTTTACTTGCAGGCTCGAGCGAAACTCACTTGATCACAAAAGGTGCTTTTCAAGAGCTTGATGCTATCTCTCTTTTGAGTCCGCATACGAAAATCGCAATCCGATCAGACCTCGATTCAATATCACGCTCAATCACGGCAGCTTATAGAACGTCATGGTATGGCAGGCCTGGAGCAGGTTTCGTTGACTTGCCTGCAGATATCATACAAGGAGAAGGAGAACACACATCAACACAGATAGTGCCTGCTGCGCCACGAGCCGCAGGGGATGCGGAAAGTATCAAGAAGGTTGCACGATTACTGAAGTCTGCAAAAGCACCTCTTGTTATTGTTGGAAAAGGTGCCGCATACGCGCAAGCCGAATCTGTTGTTCGGCAATTGATCGACCAGACCAATATTCCTTTTCTACCAACTCCTATGGGAAAGGGAGTCTTGCCTGACTCTCATCCATCCAACACAGCAACAGCTAGATCTGCAGCACTCAAAGGTGCCGATGTCGTCCTCGTTCTTGGTGCGCGACTCAACTGGATACTTCATTATGGCGAAGCACCGAAATACAATCCGAATGTTAAGATAATTCAGGTTGATATATCTGCCGAAGAAATTGGAAAGAACAACGGTGACGCTGAATTTGGAATAATTGGTGATATTAATGTGGTCGTCAAACAACTAAGTGATTCTCTACAGGGCTGGAAATATGATACATCTTCAGTATACATAAAGGAACTGAAAGCAAGTAGAAGCAAAAATGAAGCTACCGCTGCTAAAACTGCGAAAGTTGACAAATTACCGATGACATACGGTCGAGCTTTTGATGTCATCAAGGAAACCATTCATAGATTATCACCACCGGAAAACGGTAGCGTAGTTTATGTATCTGAAGGCGCAAACACCATGGATATCTCACGTAGTGCATTTCCTGTAGAGCATCCGCGATTGCGTCTTGACGCTGGAACTCATGCCACAATGGGCGTCGGCCTAGGATATGCCATTGCAGCTCATTGTGCGTATAATCTACCCTCAAGAGAAGCGCGAAGCGGACCAAACTCTTCCCACAAGAAGATTATCTGTTTAGAAGGCGATTCTGCTTTCGGGTTCTCACTGGCAGAGGTTGAAACAATGGCGCGGTACAGTATGGATATTCTTATCTTTGTTATGAATAATGGTGGGGTGTATCAAGGTGATAGCGAAAGCTCAGATGAGTGGTTGAAACTGCAAAAGAACAGTGAAATGGGTTCCAAGGGAGGCTTACGTAGTACAAGTTTAGGGTGGGAAGTTGATTACCAAAAAGTTGCAGAAATGTGTGGCGGAAAAGGATTTCTAGTCCGTAGTCCTGAAGAGCTTGCAAAAGCTACTGAAGAGGGCTTCAAAGCAAGTGTCCCGGTGGTCATCAATGTTATCATAGAAGCTGGGGCACAGAAGACTTTGGTGAGTATGTTTCCCCTCGTTCATGGTTACTTAACTGACTTGTTGACAGGAGTTTGCATGGCAGCAAGATTCGAAGAAGAAGAATTCAAACAAAGCAAAGTTGTGAAGACGTTTGAGGACATTCTAATGAGACAGGGGTGGCCAACTTTGACTTTGAAGTCGCTACTTCGACCAATCGGGAAGGTGCATGAATCGACTCAACATTCAACATTCAATGGAAGCAAAGGCACAAGAAGTGATATCTTTGACTTTCTATTAATTCTGCAAAGTTCTTTTCTGTTCTATTAATAGATTTCTATACAAGAGGCAAATCCATGTTCATGGGTGAACAATGTTTTTCACTTGCATTTTCTGAAGGGGCCATTCAACTGCAAAGCTGCAAGTTGGCTTGAATATTGAAACATGCAATGGACCATTGGTACACACGCACCTTTATGCAGGGATTTTAGTTTCATTATTGTTTTCCACCTTTTCTTCTTCTTTGTATTGACGTCAGGGCTCTTAGAATGTATATTGACGTTAGATACCTGTATAATGATTAGACCGTTCATAAATGTATCTTTAATTGTAATCTGATACCTTTGCCACGTATCGTTTCTTGCTTCGCGCTCATATCGCACATCGATATACCAAGTCGGTCGGCTCTATGAACCTCAGTACATAATACCCTCATCAACCCACCCGATGTGCTGGCCCGCTCTTTACTCCATTCGCAAAAAGAAAACCAAAGGCAAAATGTTTGACAGAGCCAAGTCTCCCAAAGATAAATACCAACCCGAACGCACCATCCGTGTCGACGCTATGCCTCCCCCCTATCGATCTACATACGTGGTCGAACCAACTCTCGTACCTCTTAATTCTTACCACGAAAGTATGTACTATGCTCAAGAAAGAGAGCGAGAGCGCGAACGCGAACGCGAAAGAATGTTGGACTTTGAGCGGGAGAGAGAAAGAGAAAGGGAAAGAGGACGAAGACCGAGTTGTTCAGATCTCTTCCATAATATCGATGTGATACAACGTCTAGGCGAAAGATTCAAGGGGTTGAATACGACTTTTTCGCCACCGCCGCCCTCAGCCTCCCATTTAAACTCCAGCGCAGCCAGTCGTACTTCTTCAAGTGCTGGTAATAGCAACGCACATGCTCGAACCCAAACCCAAACTCAAACTCAAACAAACGAGAGTTTTGCGAATACGGCGATATTGGCCGCAAGGATTAAAGAGCTAGAAAGGGAGAAAGAGTTAGCGAGGGAAAAGGAAATTGAAAAGCTGAACAGTGGATTGAATGGTGTTCGGGGAGACATTAAGGGGCTGCAGATGAAATCTGAGAGGGAAGAAGGAAGAAGAGAGGGTAGAATAGAGGGGATGGGTATCAAGATATTGGGTACTGGGAATATACCCCCATTTGGCGAAACCTGGATCAACACGAATGGAGAAATTAATCCTTTCTCGCCACCTCGCAGCCAGGAACGAGAAATCGAGATACCGGAGACGCAGGAAATGAGACGGAGCAACAGGATACACGGGGGTAGAGTGGATGAGGAGGCGATTTTCGCAGGATAGATGAGAAGTTTGCGGAGGGAAGGATTGATCGGTTGGCGGATGCGGAGAGACAGTTTGGAGAGCGACAGAGGGAAATGGTTGCGGTGATGGGGAGAGGAAGGGATAATGAGAGTGCGGTTAGGATGAATAGGTTTGAGGATCGGGTTGAGAGGATTGTGGAGAGGGAGATGGGGAGGGGAAGAATATTTGGTGAGGGTGTTAGAGATAGGGACAGGGAAAGGGAAAGGGAAAGAAGAGATAGGAGTGAGGTTGGAAGAGAAAGATATGCGAGACCTAGAATTATGAGAGAGAGGGAGAGGGAGAGAGATTGGGAGTATGGATATGAGAATAGAGCTGTATCTGGGGGCCCAGATATCGAGGGTATGTTTAGATGGTTTGACTGGATGCTATTTGTTAGAGCTACTTTGGTTAGAAATGATGGGTGGCGAGGGTATGGATTTAGAATATTGCATCGAATCTTATTTTATTTTGTTATGGTTAAGTATAGAGTCTCCTTGCATTCTAGTGGATCGTTCTTGTTGGTTCTCTCACTGGAACATCTCATCTGATATACTGTAGGGATACGATCTGATTATTCGAATTCCGAAACCCCATACAGCAGGCAGTGCAAGCTATGATGTTATTGCAATGTTGTCATTGATCTCACAATTTCTCGGGTTCAGTACGAAGCATTGCTTTTCGTCTGGAATATACTGAACAGGTTATTCCAGTATGTTAGAACATCTCAACATTGCTCAGGTAATCGCATTTGGATATTTCCTCACTTCTCATTGTTCCCCAGAGATATTTACTAGACTTTCGGCTTCACACTCAAATCATTTCCACCTTTCCAACAAAACCCAGTTAGAAAATCCATGAAAGCAAAAATCTGAAGATATTCCCATTTAAATTCCCACGCAAAAGAGTGACCCATCTTGCAAGTTGCTCAATGAAAATTACGAGAAATTAATCGCAGTGACGCAACGTCCACAGAAATACCTCTCCAACCAAGTGGGTAAATTATCTATCTCATATGAAAATGAAGAATATAGCCTTAGCAGAACCACACCACTCTTAGTTCACGCACGTTGAAATCCCCGCTCGTCCAAAGTCCCGCTCGTTGATGGTCTACAGCGAACTAGGCATCAAAATTCCAAGCACCTGGTATTTGTCTTTCCGGATTCTCGACCATATCCCAAAACTCCTTAACCCAGCCCTCATGTATACACTCAGGCTCAACAGTAAACCAGAACTGCCAGTCGCTCTTTGTTGGTCCATGTATAAAACTCAATAAACTGACGGCGTAGCACTGGTCCTCAAAGCGGGGGCGGGAGAGTCGAACCGAGATTAAACCCAAAGAATTGGCATCATCCCGTGTCTTCTTTTCCCACTGACCGTATTCAATTAAATCGATTCCCTCTGATATGATTTGATCGAGCCATGTCTCGATCGAATTTATGAGACATTGTTCAAGGAGATCAAAGCTTGCATTTGCTCTAGGTAAAGAGTCGCACATAACAAATGTAGCCGCACCTTTCAATAATCGAAGAAGAAAACTATGATGGTAGTCTTTATATGTATCTTTTAAGTGGTGATATTTGGAGCCAGCAAGAAAAAGATCATGTATGATAATTAGATGATCTTTCAAATGATCTCCGTACGGTACCACGGTATTCCTGTTGCGCCGAACAACCAGATGATGTGCCATTATAAAACCCAAGGAGTGTGTAATTCTTCTCAGTAATTTGAAGAACTCTGCTTGCTCTAAGTTTTGGACGCAAGCTTCCAAATCCATATTGTCAAGGGTCAACCATACGATTTCTTTCATGTGTATTAATCGGCAGTTGGAAATTCCTAGCACTAAAAGTGCCCGTTCGCGGTGACTTCTGTTGTGAATGGGATTCTCGGTAGATTGAAGTATCCATTTCATTGATTCAGGGGTGAGATAATAGGCGTAATGTAGGAACGTCGGTAAATTACTGATGATATCACAATCGGCCCTGGAAACTAAGTATTGCGTTATTGCAAAAATATCTTCATCGGGAAAAAGCACTTGAAATGGCGATGACCATGCCGGTCTGAGCAGATTCGTGAGTCTCTGCAGCTGTGATGCAATTTTGAGCTAACGATGTGCTATACTTACCGACCAAAAGAATCCTCTATAGTTATGTCCAAGCCACGATTTATCAAGAACTGGCACGTGTTGTGTTTATGACTTTGGGCCCCAATCTTGGAAATTTAGTTAGAACGGTTCAAAAATAACTGAAGGAAAAACTTCCTACATGAAGAATAGTCTGCCCATATATATTAACATCGTACGGGCTTGCCTGCTGTGTTTCAAATAGTTGCTGCATACCAGCCACATCTCCATTACGGGCCAATGTCATTATAGGTGCATCATAATCAACAACGTTGTATATTCTCAATTTGAAATCCCATCCAGATATTGATTGTTGATAGGCACACAGTTCCCATACACCCGAGAAGAAAGGAAGTCGCAGCTTTGCACTAAGGGTCTTCTGATATTTTGATAGTGTTTTTGCAGACCTAGAACCCGAAGTGGTATTCGCACTTGGTATAACCGAAAGATCCGTTGTACTGCTAGATATCTGTTGTTGGGTAGTGATGATAGATGTAGCTGAGTTAAAGCTATGCAAAGTATTTCGAATTTCCACAATCTCTGAGAATTGCTGCGTAGCCAATCTCACTTGTTCATCGTGTCTCGATTTGCTCAAACTCTAGCATCAAGTCAGAAATTTTTAAGTCTAGAAGTAGAAATCATCAATACGCAATATAGTTCTGATGCGCCATCATCATCAATGAATTTGCTCTCCCGAGTCTCTTTTCCATCTTCTCAAGCAATTCCTTTTTCATTACCATCTTGACTCCTCCCCATTTCTTTCTCCGTTTCATTTCATCCTCTAGCTCCTTGACGGCATTGTTCAATATATCCACACCTTTTTGGCACAACCGAAGTGATCTCGCGGCTGCAGGCGATATCGTCTGGCTACCTAGACTGTCCTCGATTTCCATGAGTAGCACATGCGTTATGTCCAATTCATCAAGAATATATAAGATCTCTTCTGGAGCGTGTTTAACGGCCATCCAAAATGATTTGAGTTTCAAGATGCCATCGCCGAGCTGGACAGCTAAGGATATGATGCCAACAGCACTGCCAGCGATGCCGAGGGCTTCCGCCATAATTATGCGAAAGTTCCTCAAGACCTTTGCAATAATATAATTGCTAAATTTGAGGATATTCGCGAAATGATAGGAATGGAAAAATATGACATGACATGTAATGATGAGGAAAAGAAACTGGGAAAAGAATAGATGGAGGAAGATGAGGGGCTCGGAGCCTTGTCATGCATAGCTGACCCCAATGGGAAGGAGCATCCTCTGAGATGAGCCTAGCACCAAATGCGAAGCCTCGCAGTGCGCCTTATTGAGGCTGTACATCCTAGGGTAAAGTAAAGTATCTCATTGGAATAAAAAATCACTGGCTGGTCAAATTTTTCTATTCAACAGATTGTTCCGGAAGTGTAGATTTGAGGCCTATATATAGTGTGAATCTCATTGGACACACAGTCTTGTGTAACATTAGAGTAAGATATAGGGTATTGCATCAACGATTACACACTTCATTCAATCCTCCAAGCATATGAACATCCAAACCCTCTCCCTTCACTTCTCATGATAATCCAACTTCTTCAAAAAATCCCAAGTTTTCTTCAACTTCCCCCCAACATCCACACCATCTTCTCTTCCCCTACCTCTTCTATCTCTCCCCCTGCCGTTTCTATCTCTTCCACCCCTCTCACCCCTTCCACCTTGTTTCCCTCCTCTCGATCTCTCCTTTCCTTTCCCACTTTCTTTTCCACTCCCACCTCTACTCTTATCACTCTCTCCCCGTCGCTTTCTCTCTTTCTTTTCCTGGACTGGAGATGGAGACGGAGGCGCTAAACTTTCACCATCACTCTCCATTTCTCCGTCTTCATTTGCATCTGGATGATTTTCCTCTCCTCCTTCTTCCCCATCACTTTCTTCACCATCAGAACCGGAATCAGTCTCTGGATCTTCTTCCAGTCCCGACTCATCATCACTACCACTCTCACTATCACTATCGTGCTCTTCTCTCATTTGCTCTTGCTCATTTTCCTGCTCAAAAGGTGACTGTCCTGACGGACTCAAACTAATTTCATTATCGGGCTGTGGATGTGCTGATTCTGGCGGACTCATAGATACAGGAGGTCGTTCCTTCTTGCGTGATTTCTCCACATGAGGTTTCTCAACATGATGATTCTTCTCCTTTGATTTTTTCTTTCCGCGAACATCTCTTTGGCTTTCTTCCACTCCCTTATGTGGCCGAGATTTTTGAGTCTCAGGCTTAAGTCTTCGAGATTGTTCTGGTATGTTAGCTGACGGCTGAGGTTGGTGTGGTGCGCGAGGCGCCGGTTGTTGTTGCTGTTCTTGTTGTTGCTCAGGACGTCCATAAGGATTGTTGAACATATCACCCGGTCTATTGTATTGATTATGTCCCGGAGCTTGTGGTGGCATATGAGGGTTATGTGGTATATGAGGGTTATGTGGTATATCACCTGGTCTTTGATATGGATTATGCATTTGCATATGCGCTGCAGGTGCGGGTGCTGGTCCAGGAATATGGGGTTGCCTATTTTGATATTGGTTGTGATCCGGGGGCGTGTGCATTTGCATCTGATTTTGTCCCATGTATGGATTTGGCGCCGCATAGTTTGGATTTTGTGCAGCATAATTTGGATTGGGTGCACCATAGTTAAATTCTGCTACCCCTCTAGCATTCATATGGGCTTGGGGTGGGGCTGTTACAGGTCCAGAAGTAGGAGCAGGCGGAGGAGGATGAACTTGCATATTCCCATCCCGCTCTAGGATCCATCCCAGTCGGACCTTGAGGTCCCGGACCCCCAAAGTTTGATTGCATATCATCTTCTCTCGCAACCAAATCATCATCATAAGTTCCGAATCCACTATCAAGATCGCTGTCATCATCACTATCACTTTCTCCATCCATACATCTTTGATGATTATATCCATTTTCATCATCACTTCCTGATTCGTCATCTGAAGCTGAGTCTGCTTCTGATTCCGAGTCCGAGTCTGATCCGGATTCTGAATCACTTTCTGCATAGGAACTTCTGTGGCTTCTAGACGGTGGAGCTTTATTTCTTAGGCTTTCGGATTTTAAATCCTTACCTCTCAGATCTTGACCTCCTCGCTTACCATTCTCTCCTCGTGCATCTCTTCCATCCTGTCCATAAATCAATCCAGTCCCACCCACACCTCTAGCTGAATTTAGTGGCGACGGGAAACTAGGCGGTCTCATCTCACTTCTCGCCGGCACTACAGGAGGTGGCGTACCCCTCATCTGTTGCTGATGTGGAGAAGGTTGACGCATAGCTTGCGCATGAAATTGATTACCTCTTGCATCATATCTCTGAGCACCTGGATAAGTAGGAGGCGAAGCTTGTGGAACTTGTGGCGCATAATTCATTCCGGATCGTAACTGTGGTTGAGATTGCGAAGGACCGAAATTCGCTTGTGGACCCCGTGGTTGATAAGGGGGGAATTGTGTTTGTTGTTGTGGAGGAGCCCAGGAACTTTGAATCTGAGGCATAGGAGGATGATGAGATGGAGAAGGTGTTCTAGCACTAGCCATCGCTGAGAATGGCGAAAAAAAGCATATGAGGAGCAGTGGCCACGCCGGGGGTTAAACTTGGTGGAAGAAAAAGTTTCGATTTCCCACGCGTAGTCGGTATAGGAGGGACTTCTAATTCTACAGGATCACGTTCGCATGCGAGTTCGAAGCGAGTAGAGCGAGGTCGTGAGAGTTGTTGAGGTGTTGAGGGTATGGGAGCATAGGGTGGTGGGTTTGGCGGCTCACTATTGTCTGTTGCTAGTTCTGCTGCATCTTCGGGAATGGAGGGAAAGGCTGTTGCAGCGGATTTGGCGGAATGGGCGGCTGGGTATGCACTATCTAGCTCTTGAGGTGGGATGTCACTTGGATTGGTTGGGTGTCCATTTTGAGGTGCGTAATTATGTTGACCCATGTAAGCGCGATCGTCATTGGGAAGATAGCTGTAAGAATCCTGTGGAGTTTCCATGTACTGGTTATTCGCAGAATAAGAATTCTCGTTTGCAGGATGATTAATGTTTGGTGGATGTTGAGGATGATCATCAGCAGATTCGCGAACAGAATCTTGATGATCAAGCTCAGATGCTACTGCTGTAGATGAGCGCCTCGAACCTGTGGCAGAAGAATTATCAGGCCCCTCTTCATCTTCACTTCCCTGATCAGATTCTGCATCCGAATTCGAGCGAGTATCAGCATCGGGGTCTTCTTGATCAGAACCATCTTCATTCTCGCTTTCACCATCAGGATCAACACCACTATTTTCCCCATCTGAACTAACCGCAGTGCTTTCATCATCCTTGTCCATCTTCAAAAGGATCCTTTGTCGATGAGGACTACCAGGATCTGCCACCGCTGGTGACTGATTTTGCATCTTCATCTTCGGACCTTGATCTGGTTCAGATTTTTGTTTTCCATTGTCTTTCTGATCTTCCATTTGAATCCATTCTTCTTGTCCAACACCATTCCACCAGTCTACAACACTTTTCCACCACGCAGCACAGCCATTTTCACAACACCCGCACCCATCATCATCACCTATATATGGCTCTTCGTTATGAGATCCACTTGAAGGTGGCTGTCCACCATTGATAGGCCCTCTAGACTTTCCTTTTAGGCCTCTTCTTCTGACACCTCCACTACCGGCCTAGACCTAGCCTCCAGGACCAGGACTTCTGGGAGAGCTAGGCCCTGGAGATATCCGCCAGATTGAAGACGTCCGCGAGGTGGAGGGCTCAACGATCGAGATCTTCAGACATTGCAGGACTGGAGGTCCGCTGCCCATTGGCGAGCGATATGAAGCGCCTCCCATTGGAGATCTCTCTTGAGGCGAATCAACATAAGATCCACTTGCCATAGAACCTCTACGTGATCCTATTGGAGATCCCGTTGGAGACCCCATTGGGGAATCTGGACGGTTACCTGGAGATTGAGGAGGTGATTCCACGGGTGATCCTCCAGGAGATCCTGATGAACCGCCTGGTGACTCAATAGGAGAGCCTTCAGGAGAACCTCCAGGTGATCCTCCAGGTGACCCTCCAGGCGACATTCCTGGTGAAGCACCTGCTATTGAATTGCCCGGTGATAAACTACCTGGAGACCCACGAGGTGAGCCACCACCTGACATCGGCGATGATGGACCCGGAGATCTGCCGCCACCAGGAGGTCCTCTCGACATTGGCGATGAGCCACCCATAGGAGAACGACCACTCATAGGAGAACGACCACCCATAGGAGAACGACCCCCAACCGGTGATCTACCCCCAGAGTATCCACCACCTGGAGGTCCTCTCGACATAGGCGACGAACCACCCATCGGTGATCGACCGCCACCTGGAGAACTATAACCAGGAGCATTTAATGGTGGCAAATTCCTCCTAGGAGAACTATCTCTACCAGATGGTCCCCTACCACCCGATGACGGTGGCCCTCTCCCAGGGGGTCCTCTACCACGAGAAGACGGCGGTGGTTGAGATCTAAACGGTGCACCACCTGAGCCGCCTCCTGGCTGTCTCGAATGACCAGCTGCAGGTACAGGAAGGCGTGGAGAGATGGAGCGGCGATTATTTGATCTAGGATCTGATCGATCAGGAGCACCAGATCCAGGGGGTCGCATTTGTCGACGATCATCTGAATTAGATTGAGGAGGATCCCGTCCATTCGAGCGAGATTGGGGAGGATAATTTGACATGGATCTGCGATCAGGTGCTCTTCCAGGTGGTCTACCGCCAGTGGCAGGATTCATTTTTCCATCACGTCCAGGTAGTCCGTTGGGTCGAGATCTGCCTGGTAAACTTGTTTCGGTAGACAGTGAACGGGGATCATGTCCTGCTCTGTCTAACGGGCGTCCTCTATCATCAATACCTGGTATGGAACGCCCGTTGCTTAAATCTCCAGGACGGCCACGAATTTCATCAGGAGGGATGCTACGTCTAGAAGTCCCATCGGTCGGATCGTCTCTTCGACCTGTTGGAGATGGAAGATTTCTTGCATCCTGTGGCGCACCTCTTCCTTTCTGGCCGCGTCTTCCATCAATGGGGTCATTTTCTTCCCAATCTGAACCGTAGTCTTGTCCTCTATCATTAAGTGCTCTATCAGGAGATTGAGGACGAGATCGAGAGTTTCCAGCTCGATCATCGCCTTTTCGTAGGTTATCGTTTCTTCTGAGGGCGTCTTCTTTGCGTGATGACGCGATCTCCCGTGGAACTCCTGTATTATTTCTATCCCGTTGCTTACCTCTATCCGAAGAATCACCTATCGGAATCGGAATGGGGACACCAGTAGTAGAGGCTTTTGAGATATCGTCGCCATCCTTGCGATGATTCATATTTCGCTTAGTAGGTGAATGTGGCAACAAACTTATCCCTGGTCTACCTGTCCGTTCATCTCCTCTATCTCGTTCTATATCTGCACGTGAAGATCCTAATGGTATTTCCCTTCTTCTCTTCGTCTTGCGGGGTTTGTCTCTCTCGTGACGATCTTTGGTACCACGAAGTTGGTCCACTGGTAGAGGACCACCTCTTCGTGGATTATTCCTAGCATCTTGTAACCGTCTGTTTTCTGCTTCTCTTGCTCTGGTTGGGGAATTTGGATCATCCTCTAATCCCTCCGAATCATGAGACGACCCCTTTGGCTTTTGCCGTCTTGTATTTTCAGGAACATCAAGGCCACGTAATTTGGGTCTTTTACTTGTAGCTTCCGAGCCATTTGGTACAGAGCTAGAACCAGATGCAGTTGGGGGTGCTGAGCGTGTGTTGGATGCTGTTGGTGCCTTGGAGTGTGGTTTTCTAGGCTCTCTATGTTCATGCGGTGGTTTGCGTGAGCTCTCATCTTCACCCCTACCTTTCCTTCTCCCGTGCTTATTACTTCTTCCATCTCTGTCTTGTGGCGAATCAAACAAGGAATCTTTGAAATTATCCATAAAGTCTTCTATAGATTCTGGTCGTAGTTTCCCAATATCTTTAACCTCTGAATTAGTGTCCACATTGAGCATTTGTATATAATTAACCAACATGGGCGCATCGAATCGAGTGTCCTTTGCAACGTCGACCTGGAGGGGTTTAAATTTCACTCCCCTTATCGATGGAGGTTGGGTTGAGCTGGCATGAATAATCCCACATTCTGACAAGTCCAAGTCTTTTCTCAAAGGCGTCACTGAGAGGCATGTACAATGAGTTCCAATATCGTCCGGACCTTCCTGGGCTTCCCTTATGACCAGAAAATTCTGACTCGATAATCCATCTTCATCTTCAAATGCTGTGCTGAATGCCCGACCTTTGTGAAGAATTGCTTGCTGTGAGTTCGATATTCATCCCCTCCGTTCCTTCTGTCTGTATGTCTCGTTTGCTGATCTGCCATCCGTCCTATGTTCAATAATTTAGCATGATTATTTTTGCTTTCAAATCGAGGAATCATACCATGACGATCACGACTTGCATTACCAACACCCATAGGCAGCGATCTATCATTCCGGGTCCCAGCCGGACCTAAAACCTTCCCTATGAATTTATTAGATATGTTAAATGACAAATTGAAATCTCAAGGACACTCATACTTTTGTCTTCAGCGGGCAATGCCCTTCCCTGCCCTCTGGATCTATCCATATTGAAGATTCGTGGAATAATATATATGTAGTAAATATACAGAGAAGTCACATATAAAAGTACTAGAAGAAAAAGAACCAGAAATCTAACCTCACAGTGCATACCTACCCAACGACGAGGAAACCACAGCACAAAAAACATTACACAGAACGGGATACTCACTCCCATAATTTCCCCAAGCGGAGACATATGGAAAAATTTAAAATTACAAGCCAACAAGAAGCTTGACCGCATCGCCTCAATATCAAGGTCACGTTGAGGTCAAATCGAGGTCGGCTCATGCGGCTCGAGCATTGGCGCGCGGTAAAGTTTGTTTAATACACAAGTCAATGAAACTCCCGAAAACATTTATTTATTCATACTCATGAATGACAAGGTTTCAATTGAAGAATTACTGAATAGAAGCACTATCGTATCATAGAACAGATGATACTCTTCTCTAAAAACCACATTAACTATCTTCATGACCGGTACCATTCCTCACGATCCGCGAAAGGCACTCACTCGATGCACGCCGTATCGACGGCCACTTAGCCACTTAGCCACGAGGGAACTGGGTCTAGACCATGTTCCGCGTCTATGACAATTCAGAATATTCCATCGCGGGAACTCATTCATTTTTTTCGTGATGAAGTGGGTTGCGCAGTTGAATGGTAACTTGGATGTTTCTAGTTGTGTGTTAACCTAGGTAGGTATGGAAGACAAATTTCTCGGTACGAGTTTTCCCCGCGCTCACAACATTGCTTGCCTTGCCTCTACGTAGGAGAAAAAAGAGGCCGATTTTGACCACATAAATCTTTAATGAAATCTCTGAATTAATTGAATTATAAATCAACCACAAATAAAACAAATAAATCTGAAAATATCAAATTACTTTTCACCTTTTATTTATACTGATTCTTATCATAGCGAAATAACAGACAGGAATGATCAACTATTTGAAAGAACTCGAAGAATAACATTTCGAATTGAAAAAAAAATCCACAAGAACTGCCATACCATACCATAAGAGCCCCCATCCCAATGATAGCCCCCATCCCAATAATATCCCCAATCTCCCTCCCATCTCCCTCCCCATCTCCCTCCCCATCTCCCTCCCCATCTCCCTCACCATATCCCTCCCCATCTCCCTCCCCATCTCTCTCCCCATCTCCCTCCCCATCCCAACGATATCCCCCATCCCTATCCCCCGCCCCAATGATATCCCCCATCCCAACGATCCCCCATCTCCAAATCAAGACAGCATCAATCAATCAATAAAAATATAACTTCCCATGTGCGACCTACCTACCTACCCTACCTACTCTACTTCCATTCCACTCTTCATCTAGTATGAGAAAATACTCGAATGCTTTAATACCCATTACTACTATCTATCAATTTCAAACGCGAGCAATAGTTATATTCGAGAGTCATTACTTGTGTATCGAGTGCATGTCTTAATGAAGATACAATATGCATACTACACACGAATTTCGCAAACATTTCCCCTCGTCTAGCTAGTCATAACATCAATACGCATATACAAGTCACAGAGCAATCACTCAATCCAAAGTCAATTAGTCATATAAATGAATATGCTAATAATCTCATTTCTATCAAAAGTATTTCTGTCTGGTCATGTATCTTACGTATCTTTCCTCTCTAGAATCTCTTCCAATACCATTTGTCATGCTATCAATCCATCGACTTGTCTCTCATCTCCCCCTTCCCTTCACTATGCACCATCCACCATCCTCTGGATTCAGTACCCATTTCCTCCCAATCAATTCAATACCCATCCAATTCAGATAGAACCCTAAGTAGAAACCCCAATTCGATTCAATTCAACTCCCATCCAGCCAAATCAAATGAAAATAAACTCAAGATCCATCCATACCAACCATTCAAATCAGCTTCTGTAAAACGCGAGATCGGTTTCCATCTGCTATCTCTCCCAGAAAGAAAAAAATCATGATAAAAATATCCCCGGTCAGTCCCGTCCCGGTGTAACGGTCGACCACCCGTCGAGATCTAAGAGCCCTCATCCATCCATCATATTCCACATCCACCAAGCAATTCAATCGAACCCGACCTTTCCATCTTGGAATCCCCCACACATTAACTACTACTCATCAATTCATCAAGAAAGGAAAAATATTGTTGAGAAAAAACAGCGAGTCTGAAAACGTTCGTAAGACTGATTTGGAAAATGCTAAAAAAAGCGCCAACGATAAAAAAAAATGCAAATATGCTAATGCCATGAATTTAAAAGGTTATGAAATGGGACTGTCATTCTGTCCACTGCTTATACGTGATATTTAATGACTGTTATAGCCATAATCATCAGAAGACCAGTCCATTGTCATGTTCATGTTTTGATGCAATTGTTGGTGATGTTGTTGAGGTTGTTGATGGTTTTGGTAGTGGTTTTGTGGTAAGTGGTTGCCAGTACCAGCAGCAGAATTAGCAGCGGTTTGTGCATAGAATGCAATCAAATCCTCGGGAAGAATTCCAGGAAATCCAAGTGGTGCTTGAGGAATGATTTCACCAAAGAGTGGAGCAGGGTTGCTATTTTGTCTTTGTTGGGGTGCAGAAAAGAGTTGGAAATCTTGAACACCATTGGTAGTCATGCGAGTGTTGTTTGGAACAAAGTCTTCAAATCCCTCATCAAAATCTTGCATAGATTTTGGTGTGTAAAGCATGGTATTACCTTCACCGATAGGTGAAATGTGTGCCATTGATTGTGGGTGTTGTTGATGTTGAGCTTGATATGTGACACCCGATGTCTCGAATGCCATGGCATTTTGACCCATGATATCTTGGTAGATTTGGTGATTAGATGGAATCTGAATTTGAGCTGGGGCGCTGTAAAGATCAGTTTGCTCATAAGCTGCCCATTCATCGTTTGGTGGGTACGCTTGCATAGTCTCTTGGAATTGATCTTGAGCACCAAGAACAGATGTGGAGTTGAAAGGAGAATTTGCATCAAATGGCGATTGTCCATCAGGAGAGAAGGAGTTATCCGTGATGGGAGAATATTCCATGTTCAATGATTGTGGGGGTTGGAACAAGTTCATTTCAGCAGGGTATGCTGGCCAAGAAGTCCATGCTGTGGTTGGTGGTGTATAATGAAGTATTTTCATAGAGCATCTCATCATCAGCAATGAGTGGAGATTCAAGGTTAGAATCGCTGCCTGGAGTATGAATGATAGTATTCTGGGGGGTAGGAAGACCATTGGGAATGACAGCAGGTGCAGCAGGTCTGTTCTTTCCGTTGTTCTTCGATCTAATATACTCCCAGCCGTGGGCTTTCTCCATGTGTTGCTTGCAATTCGACTCACGTTTTGATCGGTATGGGCAAGGCTTGAAGTGACACTCGAATAGTGGAGGAGCGGCTGAATGCTTGTCATTTTGATGACGGTCCATCTCTTTCTCGGTTGGCCAACCATATTCATGGTATTTGCACGAAGTAACGGGGCATTTCCAGGGGCGGGAATGGGTCTTCTCGTGTTTGGTCAAGTCACATGGACGCTTGAATGACTTGTCACATCCCTTTTCGCGACAAAATTTAGGGGCGAGCTCAGCAGCAGAAGCATCCTTCTTACGACGTGCCATAGATCTCATCACTGATTCTTCATCTTCAGCTTCTTCGCTCAAGGAGCGCTTGAATCTCATAGACTTGTTGTCATCATCATCCATGTCAACCGGTTGGCCGGTGGCAATGGAAATGGCCTTGCCAGTTTTCTTGTTGATGCGGACAAGTTCAGCGGGTCGACCATTTCTGGTCAGACCACCGTGAAGCTTGACCTCATCTGATCTAAATGGCCAACTGATTAGCAAATTTTCAAACTTGACATTTGAGTATGGAGAAACCTGGGGGACATACGGGTGAGCATCCATCTCGCTAATGGTTTCTCCTTTCTCTTCCTTCTCCTTAGCTTCTCGGACCTGTTCAGCGTATTGCTTAATCTGTTCGACGAGATCGACAAAGTATCCGTTAGTATATGGGCGGGTCGTTTGGGTCGCGTTTGTTCGCGTTCATTAACAAGTTCGACGGTAGCTTGGATGCAGTGAATCGATTCCAGACAAAAGTCGAGGTACAATGAGGCGCTCTTTGTGTACTTCTTCAATTGCGAGAACCAGTGAGTAAAACTCCCAACCAACATCAATAAGGATTTCACTTACAGGTGCGGTAAAAATTAAAGTCTTCTCCAGGTCGCGGAGAGATACGATTTCCTTCTGATGAATTCGTCTGGGGCAGTCTTGGAGGAGGGGATGCAAGTCTTTGAAAGACTCCTTTGCTAGGAGTGGCTTCAAGATATGCTCTTGAATGCGAGCGGTAGTGCGAGCACTAAGTCTAGGAAGGCTTTTGATGGTTGTAGATGGAGCAGCAGCCGATCTAGTTATAGTGGATGGCTTGGTAGATTTGGAGACATTGTCATCGGTGGTTACTTTCTTGTCTGATGATGATGACCCGATGGATGATCCAAGACCGCTGTCTGCATATCTAGGTGTGGTGCGACGGGGACGTGTTGATCGTCTCACAGAAGATTGTTCTGATGGCATAACTCCGTCCATCAATTCGGTATTGTATGATTTGGTCGAGGGGTTCTCCACGTTGACGACACCACGAGGAACAGGATCAGACTCGTCACGGAAGCGACGACGTGAAGTAGAAGATGATTGATTGCCGGCAGCAGTAAGCTCGAATGATTCTATGACATCGGCAGCACGACGCTGGTGTGATTCGACGGCGAAATCTTCAAGATTGGACAATGAACGTTCGAGAGCTGAGAGATTGAATGCACCATCGACTTCGTTTGTAGGAGAAGAAGGTGAGTGGAAAGTGGCACCTTTGCGAAGGGAAGCCATAGTTGTATTAACGGTTGGCCGGCTTGACGTATTCGCAAAAAGAGTCACAGCAGTAGATGTGGTCTTTGAAGTTCTTCGGGGATGTGTGAACGACATCCTGAGTGGTCAGGTCTTGTGGACTTGCGAATTGTTCGAGGACTAGGGTGAGATTGATTAGCCCTGGGAATCTTTTATTCCATGCAAGAAATGTGAGTCACAAATGAGAATGAATCGATCCGTGTCGGGGTGTGGGTGTGGTATAAACGGAGATAAAGTGTATGTAAGAGGTGATAGTAGGTAGCTTCGGTGTGGGAAAGAAGATGGATGTATGGCTGAGATTAATCAATCCATATGAATTGACTTTCGGACCAATAATTGCTCAATCAAGCTCTTGAAGTGAGAAAGTGGATGGAGGAGGTAGGGAGGAGATCAAAGTACGGGGAAAGAATGAATCAAAGCGTACAGATAAGTAGATGTGTATAGTTTGGCGGCACAAATATCACTTTTCGAGGCTGAGAGCCTTTCTCGACGTTGGTTCAAAACAACCTAGCAAAGACGACAATGAGGTTCGTGTCGACTACTCCGACTTCTATTTAGTATGGCGATGTTTGTTTTCCCTTGATCGGTCGAAGCTCTGGTTCATGAAAGATCTCTTGATGGCAGTGCTAAGATGGAGGGAAGAGAAGCGCGAAAGGTCGGGATAGAAGAGGGTCAAGATTAAGGTTTAAAGTGTGGAGGTGAGGTTGTTGCCTAGAAGGGTTGAATGAATTTGACGAATGAGATATAAGATTTTATCAATTTGATAATTATGGGATGGAGAGATGAAGGGAATCGTGAATCAAACAAGCACAACCACAATGACACCGGTCGTGTGTATTGTTTGGGTTAATGTTAAGTCGAGGTTGAACGCGTTAGTAAGATTCGTGGCCGGTGAGGAATTAAATAACGGGAACTGGTTTGTAGGATGTCGATTAAACTTGGCGTGTAGGTACTAGGTGGGTGGTATTGAGAGAGATGGAAGAGAGATGGGTTGGAGAGAGGGAGAGTGAGAGAGGGAGAGTGAGAGAGGGAGAGTGAGAGAGGAAAGAATAAGAGTGAGAGTTGAGAGTTGAGTGTGAGTTGAGTGAGTGAGAGTGAGGTGAAAGATGATACGAAATTTAGATTTGGAGGTTGATTAGCCCATAGATCCGCCTCGTCCGTCGATTCATTAAAGCGGCCATGGATTTCTAGGCAACAGTGAGAATGGGCTTGTCACTTGTGTACCTAGTTAGTTGTTCGCTCAATGAGGAATCAACCAGGATGAGCCAAATTGAAGTTAGCTTGGTAATCCCATTTCACCAGGGAAGGGGTAACTGTGTATGAGTGATGGAGTGAGGGTAATTGATTTGGAGGCGTGGCAATGGTAAGAATTGATATCATTTTTCATTTCATCCTTCACTCTTTCCCTCTGCTGTTCTATTTTATATGCGTCAATTGAAGGATGCATCTCTTACACATATACTCGTAGAAAGAACAGACATTTAACCATGTAGTTACTAGGTAGGCGTTGTATAGAATTAGATATATTACTATCACTACCTACTTGATGCTCAACAATGTTCAACACACTATCATACATATAAGGTCTCCTCAAAGGTTTCCAAAACTCAAACACCACAACATAACATAACATCCAACACCCATCCATTTCCTCCTTCTTCCCAGCAATTTTCCTCTTCGGCCCCCCTCGTACGATACCGAAACCGAGATGAAATCCAAGTTCCAACACTTGGAAACCTCATCACATCCCATTTTTCTTCCATGCAATCTCAAACATCTCCACGACGGCGTCTATCTACTAATCTAGGAAAGCTTAATTACCGATTGAATCTCAAAACAGCAATGAGAAACGGCTTCTTGGAGATATCATTTCCCGTCCCTTCCTATCGCGCTTGTATATCATACACATACACACACACACATACACATACATATTGTTAAGCTCTCAATTTGATGAATAAATACCTCACTATAGTTAACATCTCAATTGCTACCCTCGCCATCTATTCCATCGCTAAACCCCATCAATCATGAAACATCCTAACCCCAACCCCAACCCCAACCCAACTCGCAAGACCCTTCCCGAATCTGTAGTCGCGATCCAGATTCACCATGATCCCAAAGTCGAAATCTCACCCCCTTGATGCTCGCGCGTCTCTCTCCCATTCGACGAACACATGGGCGCCGTCCATGGCTTCCCCGCAATGCAGACCCTGAAGTCAACATGGACTATGCTATGGTCCTTCTGTCGGGTGGTGATTTCGGCGGCCAATAAATAGCCCTGCTGCCTTTGTGTGAGGTTATCTACATACATTTCCACCATGCACGGAATACACAGTTAAACCAACAACTCTGCAGTATTCAACCGCACAGCTAAAAATACACATTTTCAATCCAGAAGCACATAAGGATCCAATCGAGTCAAAATCCATGTGCCACACACCACAATCGGTAATTTCCCCTGAGTGGGAAAGTTCTGTAAAGACACATCTTCTCATTCTCATCCCCATTGAGTGTATGCCCAGCAATTCATACCCAGGTCGTCAGTCAATCTGTAACCAAAAGTGGCAGAATTCCCAGAGCAGTTGTAACCAGCCGGGTGGATTTATAAAATAAAACACAGTAAGAATCCAAATAAACGTGGGAACGGAACGCCATTATGATCACTCACAAGGGGGGCCCCGCCAGATTGTCTCTTCCCAACCATCCTTGTTGAAGTCTCGCGCTTAAACTGTTTAGTGGGATGGCGATGCTATTTCCATCACTTAAGCCTTTTGACATTTAAGCGTAAAAGATCCTTTGATTGTGAATCTATGATGTTGTTTATTTGCTAATTTTCAATCGTACTTTTTGATGAGATGTACTAGATATTCCCGCAAAAAATCATCTAATCACTTCTTTATCCAACTTTCCATTCTCCATTCCAAAAACATAGTGTGATCATGTAACTTTCTCAACTTGGTATAAAGGGGACTCCACTCGAACCAAATTATCGTATGGAATTGATGTCAATTCATTGAAACGATTGTCGATCATTGCAAGCGAAAGCGAAGATAAGAAGAGGATATTAATACCGTACCGTACAGCATTGATGAGTAAACCCCGAGCCCCGTTCCCACGGAAGAAACGGGAAATCCACCTGATCGAAGCTAAAAGAGCGTCAAGTCTTCAAAAATAAGGTGCAAGGCTCAAAGCTTGTCCTTTCCCTTCCCGTCACCAGGGACTGGGGGTGTGTGCAAGAATGAATCGTTTCCCCTTTCATTTTAGTCAACTGTGCGATAGAGACAGGTACAGGTACGGAGGATTGTTTGGGTACAGCAAACGGAGTAAGACGGGCGAATTATCACCCCGAGTCCACTTTAAACTCACCGAATAGTCAAAGAGCCTCAATTTTGCACGGGAGAAACTGGAAAGTCTGAAAAAACCGCAAATCTAAGCCACGCTCGCTGCTTCAAAGAGTCAAATAGATGTATCTACGTATCGAGAGCCAATAAAAGAACAAATGTCGTTGAACTTCGGTGGCAGTTTCGACGACCGGTAGATCCCATATACTTCCGTATCTAATCTTTCTTATTTTTCTCCTTCCGTCATGTAAGGTTATCAGAATCATCATATTTGGCAATCCCCCGCATAATCAATTTTCAATGCTGCTTGGAATGTGATGCTGCCAAAAACACCTTTTGGCCAAGCTCCTGAATTTCATATGGTCTCTTCGTCGTCAGCGAATCTTGGCGACTGACGAGTATGAATACGTTTGCAAAGATATCCATCGTCATACTCTCTAGGTATCAATAATTGTACGCCGTCTAGATCTTAAGATTGATTAACAACTTCCTATTTGGATATGAGAACCTTCATGTCTGCGTCAACACACGTCAACAGAGATCCTACGTATCTCATGAATTGAGTTCCGTAGTGTGCTCAGTGCTTGGCAAGCGAGGTAAGCTTCAACCTTGACATCGGAATCATCCAAAGTTTATCAGGTGTCCAAATTCTGATGTGCGGATCATGCATTTCGCACTCTTCCTCACCCGAGCTCAATTCCCAAGCGATCGAGACGGCGGCGGTCGATGACTCCCATTCGACCACGTCTCCGCAACTTTAAAGTTTAAAGCTTGATCTTCATCAAATCGGGAGGGCCCCTTTGCAAGGATGAGTCAATGCTGGTCCACAAAATGCGATGGCAGTGGACATATAATTGGGACGAAATTTGGTCTTATACTCGAGACACTTTCCATGCCGCAGGGCTGCAGAATTATATCTTCGTCATGATAATGGGCTGCACGGCATAGCTCTGCCATCAAAATTTTCCCCTCTGCCCTGAAGCCCTTTTCATGCCCTTGTGAAGCCCTCGTAAAGCCCTCGTAAAGCCCATACATAACATGTGCCCTTGGCATCGAGCAAAAGTACCTCCAAGTACGAGTATCTCAATATACGTTCTCCAGCCCTAAGAGGTAAAGACTCAAATTATACGGTGGTTCCTTTTCTTGGTTACGCGAATCTCACCATAGTTCCTCAAAATTCCGTATATTGATTAGACCCACCCACACGACCTTACCAGTTTTGAAGCAACAAATTCGTGTTTCGTGCCATCTACTTCCGAAAACTTTTGTTGGTCGAGAAGAGGCTGTGTTAATTGATTGAACCACAGTGCATGTCATCTCGTAGGACGGGCCAATCGCCTAATCAAATCTTCGACAACACAGTGCATCGTTACGATCCGTTCTTCCACACCCGCTGTAAGTTCCTCGTAAGGCTTTCCTTTCCCGTCTGGTGGTCTTCATACAATGAATTTATCATGTGTGACCCTTTTGCTCTCGTTCATCTGTACTGCATGTACTTGTGTCTCAAAAAAAAACGACAATTCGAACATGCTGTGTCGATGACAATTCATGCGATCCAGTAATTCGGAATTTAATTGCTTGGACCGTTTGCAAGCTCATGAGCAGCGGGATTAAAACTCCGCTTGTAAATGATCTTCATAGCATTGACATAGTACGGAGATTTTGTCATCCTCTCATCTTGGTGTGACGACAATTCGGGTTTTCAGGGGGGAGGATATTGAACTAATTGAGGATTTGCTGTTTCGATTATTCAATTGTTCAATTTTCAAGTGAACTACACTTTCTCAACTCGACTTCCCATTTCGAGAAGAGAGCTTCCACCTGGTGTTCTCACGTTACGACCTCTAAGGGTCAGAAAGTGTGATCACGTGGCTTCACAGCATTGACCAAGGAGTTCTGCACTATTCCGCTCTTCTTGAAACATGAAACATTCAGATATCAGACTCTTGCATTGATATCCAAAGTATTGGCTGTCATCATCTCCGCCACCTGAACATACTTGGGATCTCCTTGAGCCTCATCCACTTAAATGTCTCTGTAATTTGCCTTTGCAAACAGAATATCAGTCAAGTATGACCGTGTTTGTTTCTTCATCCGAAGTATGGGATTGAGGGAATCATACGTTTCTTTATTACCATGGAGTCATTCAAGAATTTCTTTATGAATCTACCCTTTTTGTGACTGAAAATAAGTGTTTCTTTCTTTTCTATTACTCAAGGCTCTCTTTCTGCAGTCATTTCATTCTCTCTTTCAGAATAACAAAAAGGATCAACAATCACTCTCTCAGAGTTTCTTTCTTCCTTTGTTCAATCACAAAGATTCTACAGACAATCTTATTATTGAAGCCAATTGTTAATAAATTCGAGAACAACCCTTCTTACTGGACGTACATAAACCATCGCATCCTCGCAACCTTAATCTATCTCTCTTCTTGAAACCATACTCCAACTCAAACTCAAATTCCATATCTCAAACAGATTACCTCGATAAATCAATCATTATGTTGTTCAAGACAATCCAAATCACTCTTTTCTCGTCCCTCGCCATTGCGTCGCCTATTACTTCGAATAACCTCATCCTTGGACGTGCTACTCAGCCGAAAACCATAGTTGGTGGAATCTCCGGCGCCTTGACCGACTGCAGTACCGCACCTTTCCCAGCTGAGTGCGCAACCCTCACTCAAGCAGCAAAGGGTATTACTATAGCTTTCGGAAACAAAGAATTTACTGCTGCAGAAATGTGCGCCATGATCGCACTTATGTCGTTTTGAAAGCGTGGAATTTCCAATACAACATCAACCACAGGCCCCGGTCGTCAGGCCAAGGAACAAAAAACATGCAAATGGCGAAAATAATCTTCCAATACGACGCGCAATCTATTCCCATTCCGCCCATCAAGAATCCTCCTCGCAAAGATCCACCACAGCTACCACCATCGATGGCTTGTCGGACGACAAGGTTGAACGAGATCCGAGCTTTGGTTTTGGTTTTGACGAGTACACATGGGGAGCACACCATGGTTTTGAAGACATTCTGTGCTGATGCTCGAAACAGCTCTCAAAACAGGTACCGTAGAAGGATGGCAAGCATATATGAAGTGCGTTGGAGTTGATCCCCGCTGATCCTAGCGCGATTGGCCTACTGGACTAAAGCCAAGGCCACGATGGCATTTAAGAGGATAGCTCTTCCGCTGTGCGGATATGCGAGACGATTCTTTGAATTCTCATCTTTTTCTTTGTACATAATCCGTTTCTTTTTTCTACATGATACCATCTTTATTCTTTTGTGTTTCGGGCAGACACACATATTGGCTAGGTAGCTAAATATTACATAGATAGACAAATATCACGCGTGATTTACATGCAATTCTTTACTTTTATATGCTTTTCTTCGTTTTGAAACTTCAAGTACTTACTTGATACCAATTATGCTCAGTTCTGTAACACATACCCAAACTCTGATTTCAAATTGAACATTCATCATTCTCCCATCACACCACACCTCTTATTCACCATTGACAGAATCATCATTCCAGATCTCATTTACATTTGACTTCTCAAATCCCCCCCCCCATCCACAAAATCACTATTCTCTAAACTAACATTTCCTACCTCCTACCTCCTACCTCCTACCTCCTACCTCCTACCTCCTACCTCCCTACCTCCTACCTCCTACCTCCTACCCTCCTACCTCCTACCTCCTACCTCACATCTCTACCTCACATCTCTACCTCACATCTCTACCTCACATCTCTACCTCACATCTCTATCTCTATCTCTGCCTTACCCCCCTCATCACATATCCACATCTATCCACTATCCATCTCTATTTTCCAAACCATCAACATATCCCTCACCCCCCATCCCTCCTCAAACTCTTTTCCTCCAGTTTCTCACCTTTCTACTTCTCAACTCCCAATTTCCGAATTTCCAAAAATATCTAAATTTATTAATATCTTTTAACATTCCATCCCATTCTACCCTATCTCTCTAAACCAGAAACCTCATTTCAAGAGATTATAGATTATAATAAACATATAATACTAATCTTATATATCAATTTCATTTTAGAAAGTCGAAATAAAGTATATATGAGAAGTGAAAAAGATAGATATTGTGAGCGAAACTTAGTGCGGGTCACTTGACCTCTTTTTGTAGCTAGTATTTATAGATCTTCTTTGTGTAGTTTAGAAAAAGCAGTCAATTTCCACCCACCTTCTTGTACATTTCGTGAAGCGCTATATAGAGCCTCCCTCTCCTCTCCTCCATCAGAGGCACTACATCTCAATGACTTATCTGTAGTATTTACAAAGGACTACTCCATGACCCTACCACCTTCTACTCTTTTACAATATATCAAAATAAATATAAACAAAAGAAAGAAAATACTTTACTAGTACGATATTTTGAGTAGATACTTCGAATATCCTAAAGAACGAAGAATATAGATTTTTACAAGATCGAGAATATATATATATATATATATACTTAATAAATAATTACAAAAACAACTTGAGATTTTATTTAATATATAATAAAATAAATAAATAATAAATAGATCTAATAAGATTATATTACGCTTTACAATTCCTCGATATTCTTCTCTCTTTATTCAAAAAGAGGAATAGAAATAAGAGAGAAGTAAATAAATAGTATTAAATACTCCTTACTAATAAACTATTTATTCTCGTATCTAGAATTCTTATATATATACTTAAGTCTCTTTTCAACTTCTATCGCTTCAATTTCACATTTTCTAGCCTGTGGAATTCAATACTATCATATATCTATACATATATATTTCACGACAATACTAGTGATTGATCTAGCTCAAACGATGCTGATATTCATTGCGACGGGGTATATTCAGGCCTTTGGGTTTATAGCATGTAGTTTTTATTTAACAATGCGGCGTATACCAGTATACTAATAGGAGCTATGTATAGGTAAATAATCTTCATCGAGTATTAAATTGCCGATGCTACGAAGTCAATTGCGATTACGCAACCCTTGTGCGATTAATATTCATTTGATTAGATTTTGCCAGGAGAAGCGATAATGGTGATATTATCAATATTGTCAGCAACGTTTCTTTAGTCTCCGACAGAAACATAATAATGCAATATTGTTCAATCTATCATCCAAGGAGGGTTTGAGCAAGATTTGTGTTAACAAAGCTGACACTCCCGGGGCTGAGCAGTCTCAACGGCGATATGTACGCACACCTGGGCAACCTGTGGATTCTCCATCGGTAGTTTTCCGTAGCTGACAGGTGGGCGGCTAAGCTGGAAATGGATGATTGGTGTACATTGTTCGATAAATTGAGATACAAGCAGCTGGGTTATTGTGATTATATGTTGCATTTTTAGATACCTACATAGGCAGAAGTTATATAGTTAGGTAGACAGTAACTCTGGATCTGTAATGTTTATATCGAGTATTGAGTATTGATTATACCTAAACACGACATATCATCCCTCACAATGGACCCCCAAACCACAGCATCTACATCTACAAGTGAAATTCCGACGCCCACCCACAGTCAAGAGCACAAGCTCGTGCGCGAATTTCGCACCCATTGGAGCACCTCAACCGACGACAACGAACTGAGTCTCTTCAGTTTCCGACGCTTCCGGACGAGCCATCTCATCAACCTACGATTTCTGGAAGACGAGATTGCGAAAGTCGATCGCGAGATTTATCAGGCGGGGCTGCAGATGGGGATTGATACGCAGAGAAAAGATCTCTTGGGGTTGCGGTCGGCGAGGAGAGATGCAAATGTCGCGCCTATTGAGGAGACGATTACGCAGGAGAACGTAAGGAAATTGAGACGCTTGTTGAGGGAATATGGTGAGTAGAATTCGAATTGGCGCGCGCTATTCTGTGCTATGCTATGGTGTCACATGGTATGGTCGTAGTAATTTCTTGCACAATTTTTCCTAATATGGCAATCTTGCATATACATTGTAGATGAAGCGATCCTCAACTTCAACAATATATCGCGCTTGCAAACGATCGCGCTTTCAGACTGCGGTAGGCTCTCCGCCATCCGAGACGATATCACTATAAAAGAAATGTACAAGACGCGACTCATGCGTGTGACTCATGCGTGTGGATCTCGCGCCTGCGGATTCGGATCCCATACGCCGAGCGCTGCACCGATGTCTGCGCAAATTCTGGTACGCGAAGCGTGTGAATTTTCCTAATCTTGAGAGTTCGGAGAGAAGTCCCATGACTTCTGGCGTCTCCCAAAGATATCAGAATACGATTACGATTGCTGATATCATGGCGCGGTTTCTGTTTGCGTGTGTGGCGGGTGCGTCGCTGGTTTTCCCTTTGGTTATTTTGTCGTATCAGGAGAGGTTGCATACGAGGTTGTTGACGATTTCGCTGTGTATTATTGTTTTTGCCATTGTAGTTTCTTTGGCGGCGCCTGCGTCGAATCAGGCTATTATGGGTACGGCGGCGGCTTATGCTGCGGTTCTGTCGGTTTATGTGTCTACTTCGTAGATGTGTGCAAGTAGAAGTTTTGGCCCTGGAGTGTGGGGCTGGGAGTAATTAGTAGCATTTATAAGGCAGATACCGTTGAGTATTGTTATTTGACTCCTTTGAGGGTGTATCAAACTCGGAGTGGCTCCACACCAAACCTGTTTTGATATGTTCATTGATGGATGTTCTTCATTTCGTCTGAAATCTCATTCTTCCGGAACTTAGCTACTGATATTATTTATAGGTTTAATTATCCAAAGAATTCCAGGCTCTTCTTTGAATCTCTGTTGTTGCCCCAATGTACAGTTCCGAGGGATTGTTTCTAGCCAGTGCCCAAAATGCGTCTAAGCTAGCACAATTCAAGTGCTCAACCAAAGGATACAATTCTGTCCACACCAATTGATCTATGATCTTGAAAGCACCATTATATCCTTCTATCAGATTGGAAGCAGGATCAAAGTCTGCCGAGACAACATTGAGAAAGCCACGGTTGCTGCTCCCTGGTGTGGAACTAAATGATAAGAAAGACGCAGAGTCGACAACGAGGAAAGTTTTCGTGGATAAATTAGCCGGAATACTTTGTGAAGCTACCATGTTTTGGAAGTGTCTGCAAGTTTGTCAGAATCAGTCGCAAGTGTAAGGGAAGGCCATCATACTCTCTAGCATCTGCAAAGTCGTCCTCAAATATACTTTCATCGAGACCCTCTATCCAATGTAAAGTCGCTTTTTGCCTCGCATTCTCAACTCCCATCATACCTTCCCATCCATAATCTAACCCTACTTCCAATCTAGCAAGAAAGGTTTTCCATTGTTTCTCGTTTTGTTCCTTACTCGTTTTGTAGATGACATATCCAAATTTATCAAAGCTACTCAATTTTCTTACCCAATCTTCCTCTTCTACTTTCGAAGAGTTCAATATTTGTGGCTGTGCTGTTTGGTGCGCGTCTGCTTTATCTAAAATGTCCCATACGGGTTGTAGAGCTTCCTGCCTTTGTCCGAATGAAGAATGCTCATCATTTGTGGTTCTCATCTCAGCGGTCTCTTTTATTTTTCGTTGATAGTCTATCTGAAAGTCCTCTCTTCTAGCATTTTGGATACTCTCATATATTGCGTTATTTCTTTTCCACGAGCTTTCATCTTCACTCAGTAACCCAGTCACATTGCCTGGTTCATGTCGATATACGAACCCGACAGTATGCGGTACAACATGGAACTCGGTTTCGATATAGAGATCGAGTATACTGTTTAGAATACGATAGTGATGCTGAGAAATGAGGGGAGTCTCAGCTTTACCAACAACAAATCTCGATTGATCGAAAAATTTGGAACGGGTCGCGTTGTAATGAGGGAGTAAGTTTGTGAATATAAAGCTGCGGGATTGGAAAGCCATGTTTTCGAAGAGATAGGATTGGATGTATTCTTGCCACAGAGCCGGCAAATCGTAAACCGGTTCAGATCTCCCATTTGAAACTTCCAGTGCGTCTAATACATCTTGAAGAATGTCAAACTCGAACCATATATGGTTATATATATCTCGTAATCGACCTTGCACGCGAGTAGTATGAAGATATTCAAATACGTCTACTATGAGCTGTATTTGAGAGAGAGCCACATCGATATTCTCTGGTTTAGAGAGGCCCATGGACTCCCACCGAGCAGGAGGAATTGGTGACATACCATGCCAAATCTAGAGAAAATTAGTCCACTGTGATTGTTCAAAATGTTCAGGTAGAAAAACTATATTGAAACGGAGGTGACTACTCTTTTCTTCATCATGTCCAGATTCCGTTCAATGCTCAGTGAATCTAGTGCAGCACGCAAAATATCGCTCATCCCAGATGCAGCCATCATGATTCTAGCCAAAGGCGGTGCAGTGGAGAGAGTTGCAGACACACTGTCCGAGCTAAGTTGGGTTTTATAAGGTTCTGGCGCCCATTCAACGTAACTGGTCGACAAATATTTCACTACCTCCTCAGGCATGAGAGGTAGTCCGGTTTTTCGGTTTCCGGGCATGATACCAGACTTGGCAGCGCTGAGAAAATCCGTAACCGTATGGATCTCAAAAGGCGAGATAACTGCAACATGGCCTGGGGGAGTTGGAGTTAGGGAAGGAAGAGCTAGATACATAGATACAACGATTGTGAGGATCATTGTTAGGAAAACTTTGGAGCAACATCCGCATGTACACCATCCTTTCCTTGTTCTCATTGGAGGTGCTCTCGCTGCGAGCAGAGGCTCCAGAGGTGCAGGAGACATGTTGTGAGCTGGAGTTTTTTGCACAAGAGTGTATTGAGGGTAATCTCCTCAAGTTTTGGAATAAAATATCCTAGCATGGTGTTTGCGTACTGACACGTGACTAATTCACTGCCATCACATCGAAATCTACAAGCATACACAGACCATTTGACATTGAGCTTGCAGAACGCGCTTCCTTGAGACAGCTCCTAATATAGTGACGATGAACAACACATATCTGATAGACAATCCCACCCCGCAACTTGAGGCTGGAGAATTATGCCATGTCTCACCGCTGTTACACGACCACGCTCGAGCTACCTTGGTACCAAAACAGCTTCACCAAACACTTTGATAATCCAATTATTTCTGTTCAACTTCTTGTCAAAGATATGATTATACCTAGGTAATGATATGAATGATTAAAACCTGATATTTTACTTCACACTTTTAAATCGAGCCATTTTGTTCGTAATTGATTCATTAAAGTACCTTGATTGTTTGTGTTGAGGTGGTCGAATTCGGTCTGTTTTTTCTCCTCCGAACAACGAGCTGAGCTGAAACCTCAAGCTCTTGCACTGCGGGACTGCATTTGCTGGCCCGGGAGCTGTCGATCTTCTAGACCAAACCTTAAGCCTAGTGGAACTTAAATATTACTTCATCTCTCATTCTTCACGTCATCCAGACACGTTGAGTTGATCGTAAAGATTAATACAAACATCAACTATCAATCACTTCCTCCAATTCATCAAACAAACTCTCGTTTACGTACTAAACATCATCAAATCAGCAGTTCTAAATACTCCAAGATGCGCGGTCGTGTCCTCCTCACCATCTCTGCTTTTGGCCAAGGCGTTACACCCTTCATCGCAGATTGGAATCACACCCACATTTACAACCCTCGCTGGCCTCCTCATGCCAAATTCCATAATGGACAAACCATGTCTTTGGGCGCACTACTTGGTCTCGTTACCTTATACTATACCTGGCGCTTCCCACGTATCCCAACTCCGAAGTCCAAATCGAAGGTAGAGAAGAAACAGACTCCAGAATCATCAGAGTCAGTGTGGGTGCGAAAGATGACTCGGGATAGTATGATCACAGCTGCGATTGCGGGGAGTTTGTATTGGATCGCGGGGTTGTCTGCTATATTATACCCGGGAAGTAAGGCGATGGACCCAGAATTTGGGGATTCGGCTCCGCAGATGATCATCTTTCCGTTTTTTATGGGGATGGCTATTTTAGGAGCCTGGTTTGAAGTCAAGGATCTGGACAAGGCGTAATGGTACAGAGATTATGCTAGGGAGGAGTGGTCAAGGGGCGAAAGAGAAGGAAACTCTTAAAATTGAGGAGAATGACGCCAACATCTTTGGAGTTAAAGGTTCTAAGCTGGTTTGGATATCGGAATAGGTGGAGTCATGACAACTTCAAGCGGGTAAGGATTTAGGGCAGGGGGGAAAGAACACGACAAATGATTTTCATGATATATCAGCTACGAGGGAAAGAACGATGAAAATAATGGAATGATTTAATGTATGTGAAATTAAATGAGTTTATATTCTCCAGGGCATGAATTCCCAAATCATGGAATTGCTGGTAAAATAACTTCTCCGTCCTTTGGCTGTACATCTAACTGACCATCTTCACGCCATGGTGCCTGATGTTTCTCTGCAAACTGCCTTATATCATCAAAATTCTTGCATTTGTGATCACGGTTGAAGTCTGGATATAAGTGAACACGATCTCCAGACTTTGCCCACAAGAAAGGGTGTGCTCCTGTATCGGCTGAACACATTAAACTTTGGCGGACGGTGTCTAGACAGTGGTCTATTGTGGTTGTTAGTAATTGATTCCAGGCAATAGTGCTAATATACATACTTATATGTGCTTTCAAGATATATTCTTCATTCTTGAATGGGCCTTCTCCGAGATTGTGGTAGTACTCAGAGTTGTAATAGAGCCCTTGTCGGAGAAGATTCTACGTATTGTCAGCTTCCGTTTTTGATCTCCAACTTTGCAAGCAAGTGCTATCTAGAATTGGAAGTCTTACCAGACAATGTAATTGATGCATCACCTCAACTATAGCAGGGTAGCCAGGACCTCCATCTTTCTCATCTACTCGGAAATGATCAAGTGATATTCCGGCTTTGGGAGCATCTTCTGGTGGGATGATTATTGCCTTATCTATTCATACGTGTCAGCATCAGAACTTGTCCTGCTTGAGATAGAGACTGCTAACATACATTTTGTTCCAAGATTGTACCAAGCTTGATCAACTTCTGGGCTAGGTTCTTCTCTGTATATAGTGTTGGTGAACAGTGAGCCATTGAATCTAACAGTTTCGTATTCAATGTCAATGTTATCGAGGATGGGACCTGTAAGAGTCAGTTCATTTGTCTTTTTTTTTCAAAGATAAAGTTTTGGTAACTAACTCCAAGTTTGACTTGTATGCTTAGCACATACTTGGTCCAGATTTCTAGGGGGTCGATGTGTGGTGAGATATGTTGCAGTATTTGTGAGCAGTGTAACGACAACTATACATGAAATCCAGAAACAAGTCTGCGTTTTTGAGCATTTCGTGGCTCTAGGATTGTCTAGTGTTGATCTATGAGATTTCTCAGTTGCCGTGTATTCATTTTCCAAATCAGTAAGAAATGGTACACTTGACTCATCCGAATGTCCCATGATTTCCCTTGATTAAACTCAAATATTGAAGCGTGAATTTGAATGTAGGTAGTACTACTTCTCTGTCTTGTTAAACTGGGAAGTTGTTGAAGATTTCGCAAACAGCCATTTGAAGCACCGAATACCGAAAGTCCCTCACCAACCCCCACCCCTCTTGCCCCTCAACGATTCCAAGAAATATTACTATCTACCTTCCAATTCTAGCATGACAAGCCCACAGTTAGCAATCAGGTCTCCGACCGACCCATCGTAAGCACTAAAATGATCTGATCTTCAAGTACTTCCAGAATGCCGCTCTTGATAAGAACACGAAAGATCGACATACTCATATTCTGTACCAATAGGTTCCGAATGAAGCAAGACACGTTGATTTACACGCACAAGCTTTCAGTGGCTTTGGATCGTGCATGCATATTGTGGGCTGAAGGATCGCCAAGGCTGATGCCTCCTTCCCCTTTTAGTTAAGACAGAAGCGAGCCCCGCATGACACCTCAACTCGTGGCATTTGCGGATATAATGTGGGTCTATCTATAGGTATTAACGGCTCCTCGGGTATACTCAAGTTTGAAGATAAGTAAATATATACGATATACGAAAGCGGTATCTCACCATTGAAGATTTTCTGCAAGGCGACAAATCATTGGTCTAGTGACAGGGTTACAAGATAATTCAGCAATGGACAAGGGTGCATCAAGGTTATTCAGTTACATTATATTCTTCATTTAGACATAAATTCATCAAAGACAATCCTCCAAGCCCCGCCTTCAATGGCAAAAACACACCCCCGGCTTCTGTTCTCGGAGCCAAGATTATTCTATTGCACAGCATAGAACCAGTTGGTTGCAGCTTCTTCTGGCTCGGCATCCTTCTTCTGAACAGCATAGAAAATGTTGGAAGCTTCTTCTGGCACAGCATCCCGCTTTTGTACAGCATAAAACCAGTTGGTCGCCGCTTCTTCTGGCTCGGCATCCTTCTTCTGAACAGCATAGAAAATGTTGGAAGCTTCTTCTGGCACAGCATCCCGCTTTTGTACAGCATAAAACCAGTTGGTTGCAGCTTCTTCTGGCTCGGCATCCTTCTTCTGAACAGCATAGAAAATGTTGGAAGCTTCTTCTGGTACGGCATCTCGTTTCTGAACGGCATAGAAGAAATTTGTAGCTTCTTCTGGTGCAGCATCCTTTTTCTGAACAGCATAGAAATAGTTGGTAGCTTCTTCTGCTGGTGCTGCATCCCGTTTCGCCTCTACGGCGGATTCGATACCATGTGCTTCTCTTGTATCTGCCATCGATGTTAGCATGAATTATCTATCAATAGAGTTAAAGTGAACTACATACCAACTGCAGTAGGGAGAGCAATTGTTACGCCGAGCAAGCTCAAAGCTGTTAATGCATATGTGACCTTCATGATGACGGGATGTTTTGGTGATGCTTGAGTGAAAGACGAAGTGAGAGTAATATGTATAGAAGGCCTGAAATCCTCTTATTCAAGAGGAATCGGAAACTATATATAACACTATCTTCAACACAATATTACCTAAGGATATCTGAAGCACTTTTGACCTCCTTCCTAATCCGTGGAAGTGGGATATTTTCTAGGGTGTAGTTGCAGGTGCATATTCAAAGGATTCAATTCCCAGATACAGTTTGTCAACATAACGCTTGTGCATCATGCAGGGGAAAGATTTCTGCACGAAGAATTATCAGTGACTATATCCGCACGAACCTCCCAATGAAGTTTGAGAGTCTAATATTGGCTGCATTATCTTCACATTTTTGCTGGTCATCACTATCTTTTTGTAGCATTTGACGTCAGATTACCAAGAACGTTTCGGGAAAGACGGAAGAATCGCACTCTCCTGTTCACACAACTTTGTCTCATCATTTTTTCTACCTCGAAGATCTCTGAGAATATACATCTTCTGGTCGTGGAAAAGCCGAAGGAGCAAGCAACTACTATGGAATCTAAACGTGTGCGATATGATCAGCTCCCATTTGAAGAAGGTTCCAGTCTACCGGAGACAAGAAAAACCACCTCAACTACCAGAAGACTAATTCAAGGTCTTCTGTGTGCAGCTGTCCTAACATCAATCATCATCGGTACCTTCTGGGTATGGTCTCAAAAACACCCCAATCTACCTCAATACATCGACTGCGGCTCCTCAGTCGAAGAAGCGCTCTCCAAAAACTGTGTCATGGAACCCATGATCTACGGCTGGATACCACGTGAATGTTACTTCTCCGATCTCAGTTCTCAATATTCTCCCTTTGAAGACAGAGAGTGGTATACAGACGACACCTACACCGTGCAAGTACCCCCTGCAGACCTATGGGCGGGAAAGAACAAACACGTTTTTACGCACAAGTATCATTCGACGCATTGTTTTTTCCTCTGGAGGAAATTGGCACTGGGCATTGCGAGGAGAGCAGATTATTTAGACGACAAGAGTTTGGATTTGGAACATTCGGATCATTGTTCGGAGGTTTTGGATCATTATGGAGGGGAAACTAATAATTCGACGAATGATGTTGTGATGGGATTTCATAGGTGTGAGAGATTGGCTTGGGTGTAGGAATGATGTGAAAAGAAAATTTGGAGAGAAAAAGGAGATCTTGCGATGTTGTTGCAGGATGAAAGCTTGAGAATTTTGATTGGATTATTTACATCTGCATCGAATTCAGGGTGAATAAAAAATTGTTATTTATTCCTTTGGAGATGAAGTTAAAGTTCTCTACAAATAGAGTGCTCATGATTCAACAGTATTGTCTTTCCAATAAATTGCCGTGCACTAGCAGTTCATCACAAACGCTAGAAGAGAGAGAGAAGTGGGAGACCGGTACATTGCGCGCATATGGAATTCGTGTGCTCAATTAGCTCTGAGGTTATCTAATTGCTGCACCCCCCAACAACACATTCCTTCTCCAAAACCGATTGAGTAACACTATTACGTGAGATATCAACCTCATCTTTAGGAATTGATGACCGGCGTTGACATAGATGCTCTTAACTCCTCAGGATCCGGAAAATATCCCGATCTAACCAACAAGTCAAAATTCTCTCTATCTTCCAAATGACCACAAGCCTCCAAAAAGTCCTCCGGAATATATTTCCTAATCAACTCCGCCATATTATCACCTCTAGCACAACGAACATATGCACGAAAATCCAATGTTCCAGGCCACAGATCCATTCCGGGAGGATAGTAACCAGCGAATTCCCAATCGATCAAAGCCTTAGGTTGGAGAGTTTCCGTGTCTATAAGAAAATTATGGGCTGCTAGATCTCCATGTTGGAATACGTATTCGGGAGTTGCGAGCGGGAGAGTTTTCCACGGTTGTTTTCTTCCTTTCCATAGTTCTTGCGTATCGATGGGTAACCAAGCAGGAGGCATAACGAAACCGTCAATACCTCTTGTGTGGGATTTCATAGTTGAAAGTTGTGGCAATACAGTATTTTCTACAAAGTTTATGGCGTTGGAATATGCTCTACGCACACAAGTATCGCAAGAAGATTCTTCTGTATGTTTTTTGTCAGCTGTTACTAGGCAGCCTAACTCATGCAATTTGTTGAGACCAACGCCGCTGATGAGTTCCGTCACAAGGTATCGTGTACCGTCTGGGTTAATGCCATAATCGAGAAGACGCGGAACGGGAATTGTTGTTTTCTGTGAAACCAATTTCAAAGCGTTGACTTCGTTGGTGATGCGGTCGTGATTGAACAATCTCTTGCATTCAATTGGATGATCTTCTAAGTCCATATAGACCCAAGGAAGCCGTGATGTTTTCCTGAACATTGTGGGTGTGAAATCATATCTTACATTCCAGGTTTCTAGCCGGCGAACGACGTCTGCATCGTTGAAGATTGGGAACTCTTGGGGTTGTGACTGTTCGTTGATATGGGGTGTCGACTTCATGCTATCAGTTGGATTGCTCATTCTTGCTAATGTAAGTTAAATTCAATTTTCTGATCAGCAATGCTACTACTTCTTAGTAGATCAGAGTGTGTAAAGATCAGAGATTATATATGAAGGAAACCAGCTAGAAGAATAGGCATGTACTCAGAAAGGGGTGTCAGTACGGCAGCGCAATAGTTACCACGAGCCGTATCAAACGCTGCCCAGCACATCTTAATACATGATGAACTGTACAAGAGAAAGTTAGTAACTCCCAAGAGACCTACGATATAATTGATCATCCTCTGTTATGCGTTGCTACGACAGAAGATTCTGATCAAACTATCAGGGTCAAGCAGCCGAGAGTCCCCGTAACCATATTTCTGCTACTTGCCGATTCCACCAGTATATGTACGGCGAAATTGCGATGGTTACCTAGTCTAGGAAGTTTGAAGGGTATTCTATGAAAAATCATATGCAAACTCAGATCGGCTAAACCTTTCGTAATAATGCAAAATAATTAAGCCAAGCTAAATGTTCACATCAACTCAAAATCCCAAAGCTTTTCGAAGAAGAGAATCCAAAATCTAGTCAACATGTACACTTGCATTGACAGACATGATAATTCGACAACCCCGACTATTTCTATCGCCTACATTGACGATTTCATGCCACTTCACAGACTAAACTTAAAGTGACAACAGATGCTCTCGCGATCAAAGTAAATCAAGACTGCAATCAATGCATTTGTTCCATTCCTGTAATGTACGCCCGAAATCCCAAAAACAAATAGGTATCAACGCCCAAACACCTCATTCATAAGCACATTTAAAGCCCGGATATCCAGCAATAACTAACAAACAAACACTTTATCTAACACACATGCAAAACTTCCTCGCCTCTTCCGTTCTCCTTCTCATGAAATCTCAAGCCCATTACATGCCCAAAAGACCAGCGACCAGCACCGCCCCCCCAAACGTGATCCATCCCACAGTCGTAACATCCGCCGCACTTGAGCCCGTAGCCGACGCCGACGCCGCAGTACCCGTTGCACTACTAGCTCCCGCTGAGCTACTTGTCCCAGAACCCGATTCTGCTTTCAATGGAGCGAGCGTGCCTCCCACGATGCCTTTTGGGTTTGTTGTGGCATCACTATCTAGTGCTTTTGCTGCGAGTGAGAATTTTGCTAGGGTTTTTTTGTTGTCGGTCCTGAGTTGTGTTAGTGTGAGATAATTTATGTTTGGTATTTAGATGGTGAAGAAGGTATAGGAAAGATGAATAACACTTACGCATTCACATTAACAGCTCCTACCATTCCGCCCTCACAATGTCCGGGATATCCACAGTAGAACCAGATCGGTTTCGTGTCATTTACAAGCACGCTAAAGACGGAGGCGTTGGCTTCGGTGCCAGTGGTAGCGATTGGGCCAGAGAAGAAACCCGAGCCCTTACAGGGCGATGCAAATGCTGCTTGGGCAACCGAATGCGTTTTGGCATAGAAATGGAACTCAAGAGTTGTGTTTACGTCAGCCTTGGTTTCGTTGGGAGAAAAGGTAAGTTGGCCGCCGGCGCCAACGAGAATAGTGTGGGTTGGGTCGGAAGGAGAAGTGCTTGTGGTGCTGGATGGAGTCACTACAGTGGATGCAGAACTGGCATCTGCGGCTCCGTATGCAGCAAAGGTGAAGGGGAGAGCTCCGAGGAGAAAAGTAATTTTGCTGAATTGCATGGTGAATTATTATTAACTATTCGCGATATGGAAACAAAAGATTATCTATTGATTGTATGATCAAAAGAAGACGATTAAAAAAACTCTTGGGTTTGGATTTAATAGAAAGCAGATCAAAATTGGAATGAGGGATGCGATTTAAACAACAGTAGCTATCGGTTTATATAACAATCATTCAACGCCTCTTTCTTTCGAATTTGCGAGAGACATGTTAAAAAAAGACGGTTCGCCATCCCATCATGGTATCATGCTATCCCAATACTAGCATTCAATTGACATCCGAAACTGGCACGTCAACTTAGCCGCTTCATTCTGGTCCCGAAAGTACGACCCCAAGTTTCGGCTCTTTGTCACCAATCGAATTCGAAATGTATTCAGCCTGCATATGCACCCCCGATAAAACAGAAAAAAGCAACACCCCCAGCCCTAGGGTTGACAGAATGTCATCTGATAAGCTCGGTTACTTTCATCCGACCCAGTTATCCAATCATATCAGGAGTTTAATGTAATCTAGCCCTAAGTAATGTTTGAGCCCCTGCATGGAGATCTATTCTAATCCCCTGCGCCAATTTCAAACGGAAATGGTTCAAGGTGGTTGATTTTAATGCGAGTCTGACAGGAGCAAGCTATTGCCGAGAGAAGTCTCTGACACCAAACTGTAGATGTGTATAGGTGGCGCGGATATTGAAACTTGATCTGAGGAAGGCGCAGCAAATTGTGCCAGTTCAATGTTGGTTTTAATGTGTGCAGTGCTACACTGTATCTCCATGCGATAGGGTGCCCTGAACG